TCCACGCTAACAGCTATGCGGGAGCCGTCGGGGTGCTAGAGGCCCAAATAACTACATATGTCGCTAGGGCATCTCACGATCAACCTTTTTCGTGATACTGCAACCTGTTCCGTGCACGCCATGAAGGACGCTTACAGCAGAGCTGGTGCCGATCGCAGCAATCACTGGCGCATCCGGACTGTATTGTGTGAGGACCAGGTGATGACTGCGCGTTTGATGCTCAATGTGAGTTATACATGACAAACCTTTGCAAAACGCCGAAAAGAACGCATTCGCCGCCAAACGAGCTCCTATTGTTCAACCAGCATAATGCGATGGCGCAACACAAAAATGTTTCGTGAAGATTGCATCAGATCCTTGCATGTAAGTATCATGTGCATTGTACGTCGTTGTGCTTCAGTCGGCCATGCGTTATTGTCTGTGAGTTCTGCAAGTTTGCTCGTGATTCGTTTTGCCCCGGTTTTGTTCTAGAAGAAATTAATTGAAGGGAAATGTTGAACTTGACATAAGGAAAAAAGACCTTAAGCCCCAGGCTTTCAACATAATGAGTTCGCAGTTTTTGTTCTGACAATTATCTCCAACAATTTCACATAACACAATGACTGTTAAAACGACGTTATCAAGGAAACATTGACTACCTTGATAAAACTGGACGTCATTGACGCGCTCACAGCCAAAAAGTGGAATCATTTTACCGACATTGCGTACGTCTGATGCATTTGTGTCTGCCACACGCGCCAGTAAAATATTCCATCGGGCACGCCGGCTCATGACAAACGGCGCATATTCGTGCGCCTATTTCCTCCTCAGCGATGACGGGTGCATGTTGGTAACAGGAAGCCTACGTTAAAAAGATTAATGTGTGAGAACGCTGATGGGTTTCACGAAGTGCATATTCGATTATGTGGATAGACGTGGCTTAACAGATCTTCGTCTGGTGCTGCCCGCCAGACAAGGGTCTGCTAGTGACGTGGTCGTAGTTTTGTGATAGAAGTAGTTTCTCAGAGTTTTGAAGAACACTTAATCGATGTAAGGAGATCCATCTATCATGTCCACACATTTCTCTACACTCTTTAAAGAACGTCACCTTTATATCCAGTTCAGTTTGTCGAGAAACCCTGATTAAAACACGGTCTGCAATGATATTTCAAACTGAAATCTATATCGCACAACACCCGCAAAGCTCTGGTGGACGCTGAGGCCACGTGCGCCATAATCCGATGCTGATGCTGGCTTGCCATTCCACGGCTGCATCGAGGGTCTCAGAACTGCTGGCACGGCCCACCGTCCGCTTGAAACCTACCATGCCCGGCACTGCCAGGCTACTGCCCAGCACTTGTCTGCCCAACACACCGGCAGAGGCGTCCAACCTGACGAGAAGTGAGCCGGCCCTCAGACACGCAGGATGGCCTGCAACCGACGCCGCCTGTGTGACCCCGCCGCCGCCCCGAGTCCTTCTGTCCCGTCGTCGTGCGCTGACCCACCGCTGACCTGTGCTACACACGTGCGGAACGTCACGTGACGCGTCACCTGCGGGCGTGCACGGCCGCGTGACGAACGTCCGCCAGCGGCGGTCGGGTCTGGCAACAACCCGCAGGCTTCATCAGCATCTGTCTCGATGCGCGTAGCGTCACATCCTGATGCTCGATGGGGGCTAAGGGCTAGACCAATAACAGTCGTGGTAGCCATTACAGCCGGTCAGAGACAATCCGTTTCTCATGATTAGGAGGCAGTCCATGCACCGCGGGCCAGGGAACTGTTCAGGCATCGCCGGCCAGGGTACATCTCTGACGCCGCTGGCTCGAGATACGGCCAAGGTACTCCCTGCCTGAGAATAACTTAGGTGCCACCGGCCACAGGACAGTTCAAATGAGAACGAGCAGCACCTAGTCAGGTGCCACCGGCCACGGGACAGTTCAAACGAGAGCGAGCAGCACCTAGTCAGGTGCCACCGGCCACGGGACAGTTCAAACGAGAACGAGCAGCACCTTGTTCAGGTGCCACAGTTCGTCGGCGGGAATGTAACCCAGGCGTAACGGCAGCGTGACGCATGTCCGAGTGCGCTCCTGGCGTCACGGTCCGCTGCGGCCGTGCCTCGCGCGCTGGAATGGTCATCTCTGCGCTGTGGCAGGGCTCACGGTTTCACTAGTGATTTCCCGCCTCGTAGGCGGCGTTGTCACGGCTGAGTGCACGTTATCCCGATCCTACTGGGCTGTGTTGACCGCGTGCTGCAGCGGCTGGGCGCCCAGACGCTCTGCTGTGACGAATGTGAGAGTGTCGTTGAAGGTGCAATTGTGGGGAAGTCTTGGGAGCTTTCTGTTTCACGTCATAGTTCAAACGCATTGTCCGTTTAATGAAAGTAGGACAAACACACTAAGGAGCGAGCGCGACAGCTACAACTACAAGCTGGAATTCGGTATTCAGTGGAACTTCGTGCACACGGAACGGTATGCCTCTGAACCTATATGCAATATACATCTCAGCACTTGTTCAACTGTGCAGTGATGCTGGCGAGCACCTGAAGGCAAGGTTCTCCTGCCAGCATAGCTCGCTGCTTCCTGACTTCATTTCTCGGATAAGAGTCCAAGCAGCTTTGAAAAGAGCGTGTCCTGAACCAAGTTGCCGGCATCGTGCCCTAAATTCTGGTGGACGCGGGGCCATATGGCAGAGCGCGTCTCGCAGAAGCGACTCTGACATAACTGGATCGGCCAGACGCGTGGAACGAGTTCCCCATCGTTCTGAAATGGCCACGCGGGGCGTCCGGACACCTCACACTGTTCCAGAGCGACCGGCTGAATGGACAGGCACGCCCTTGCAGACCCCGGCTGAGGGACCGACCACCCTAGCGAGTTGGGTGAGGAGACACGCGGCCTGCACCGCCCTTCATTGGGCGGGCGGCGGCGCCAGGCGTCCTCGCCGACCACAGGGCAGCCGGGCGGGCAGGTCGCATCGCCATACTGCCCCGGAGCGCCAGGGTGGGCGGGCAGACGTCCCCCTCGCCGACCATGGGGCAGCCAGGCGGGCAGGTAGGCGCCTCCATACTGCCCCGGAGCGCCTGGGTGGGCGGGCAGATGTCCCCCTCGCCAACCATGGGGCAGCCGGGCGGGCAGGTCGGCGCCTCCATACTGCCCCGGAGCGCCTGGGTGGGCGGGCAGATGTCCCCCTCGCCAACCATGGGACAGCCAGGCGGGCAGGTCGGCGCCTCCATACTGCCCCGGAGCGCCTGGGTGGGGGGACAAATGTCCCCCTCGCCAACCATGGGGCAGCCGGGCGGGCAGGTCGGCGCCTCCATACTGCCCCGGAGCGCCTGGGTGGGCGGGCAGACGTCCCCCTCGCTGACACGCGGGGCGGCCACCCCGCCCTTATTCCACTCCTATATCATCAGGGCTCGACAGAAGAGACAGTGAGACGGTCGGATGAAATCGCTTCAGCCGCTAGAGCAGCGCCTCCAAAGGAGCGGCGGGGGACGGAGCAAGGGCAGAGACGAGTTTCTGAAAGCGAGTGACCCCGGAGACCGAAATGGAGCGGAGATGGCGACGAAAACCGGTCAGTCGGACCGCACGCCGGGTTTCTCTCGCATTGGAGTGGTATCGACGAGTGATCCCATCACGGAAAGGAACGCGTGTTGTAGTGTAAGTACCACCCCATTCAAACGATGTGTACTATTTGCCACTCCGAAAACGAAATGTAAAACACGTGAAAGCATCCAAGGGAATGATTGGCGGTGATTAGTGAATGACGGAAGAACGCAAACGACCGGCTATATCTGTTAAACATACGTTATATATTATAAGACGTGCTATACTTCTTGAAGACCCATTTTCGGTTTTGTTTGTGAATATCAACATTTTTGAATGAATGGATTTCTGGTGTCAGACCACTTGCTAAACAGTGCTTGTGAGCGCCATGACCGCTACCATCCGATCATGCAGTTTCAGGTGAATGTCAGTATTTGGCGGCGGGAGTTTAACATGCCACAATGATAGGCACGGTCCGTCGTGCCCTCTGACGTCACCTGACTCCTTGTGCGGCCGCTGTCACTGGCCGCAGGCCAAAGCTGTTAAATGCAAATAGCGAGCGCCTAAAGCGACTGGAACCCGCCCCGCCACAGGTGGGTGGATTGAAGGGCATTCACTTTAACCACATAAGCTGTCGGACGGACACTTATGTTAAACAAACGCGCTAATATCATTAAACTCACGCTATCCCCATGTATTTAACATATCTCAATTATTTGCCCTCATTCATCTGCGAGAAATAAGGTCAGTTGAACTCCTTTTGCGTGTGCATAATGCTTCTCGCAGTTCTACTCAACAACTTATGCAATCAATATTCTACTCACGACAGCAGCACCACGGCGGCTCACGGTGTAAATCGCCTATGTACATAGAACGAACCATAACAAGCGAAAGTAGCATGGAGACCGGTGCACTGGGACGTGCAGAATGTTTGACCACAATGCCACGCTTTTCACTCTTAAGGCAACAACATGCCCAGTCATTAAATAACGCCATTCCAACAGGCCATGAGGAAGTGTTTCGGTATTGAGAATGCGTCACCCCACAGCATCGTGCAGGTTGTTCCGCTGTTTTTGTCAGCCAACGCTATTCGAACAGATGCCAGCAGCGTGCAGCCACAAGAACCGGACAGAAAACCGTAGAGCCAAACGGTGGTTGTCTTCTTCCATCCCAAGAGCCCGCAGCCACAGCAGGCCCTACAGCCCACTGCGGGGTGCATCGCCACTCTGGTGCTCGACCTAGCGTCAACGTGTCCCATAATACCATGATGGACGCGAGACATGGCTAACCTAGTCCAGTGATCACAAGGATCACTAAAAAGCACAGCCTTTCTCTCTACAAGCCTGGGACCTGGGGTTAACTGGTCCAACACTTCGAACTTTGGTGACTCCAGAGCGCTAGGGCGTATTCTCAGGCCCCTCTCGCACTGAATGACGTCATCGCTGCGGTGGCGTCCCGCGCACTCCGTCGCGTCCTACTCACGAAGAGAACGAAGGCGAGCACGGTGATGACGTGCTGCATCCAGCCGAAGCGACTCTTGCGGCCGCAGCGCAGCGCCTGCGACAGCGAGCAGCCGTCGCCAATGCGGTACGAGCTGGATCCCATGGCGGCGACGCGGGCGGCGGCGTGGGCACCGGTCGGAGCGGCGGGCCGGGCGGCGAGCGGGTGGCACGCGGGACGACGACTGGCTGGCCGGCCGCCGGCGCGCCGGCAACGCCGCCCCGCGCACCAGGTGAAAATATGACAGGTGCGTCGGCCGGAAAGAGCACCGCCCGGGAGAGGGCAGAGCGCCGAGCGAGCCGCCAGAGCGTCACGGATGAAGGCGCCGGCGACACACTGAGCCCGGCACGCAGGTATGGCTCCACTCACTGCACTGGTGACGACTTCAGAGACGCAACGAGCTCGGTACACTGGAACAACTTCACTCACCGGACTGGTGACGTCTGTGGAGCACAACGAGCTCAGTACACTAGGACAACTTTGCTCACCGGACTGGTGACGTCTGTGGAGCACAACGAGCTCAGTACACTAAGACAACTTTGCTCACCGGACTGGTGACGTCTGTGGAGCACAACGAGCTCAGTACACTAGGACAACTTTGCTCACCGGACTGGTGACGTCTGTGGAGCACAACGAGCTCGGTACACTGGAACAACTTCACTCACCGGACCGGTGACGTCTGTGGAGCACAACGAGCCCAGTACACTAGGACAACTTTGCTCACCGGACTGGTGACGTCTGTGGAGCACAACGAGCTCAGTACACTAAGACAACTTTGCTCACCGGACTGGTGACGTCTGTGGAGCACAACGAGCTCAGTACACTAGGACAACTTCACTCACCGGACTGGTGACGTCTGTGGAGCACAACGAGCTCAGTACACTAAGACAACTTTGCTCACCGGACTGGTGACGCCTGTGGAGCACGACAAGCTCAGTACATTAAGACAACTTTGCTCACCGGACTGGTGACGTCTGTGGAGCACAACGAGCTCAGTACACTAAGACAACTTTGCTCACCGGACTGGTGACGTCTGTGGAGCACGACAAGCTCAGTACATTAAGACAACTTTGCTCACCGGACTGGTGACGAGCACAACGAGCTCAGTACACTAGGACAACTTCACTCACCGGACTGGTGACGTCTGTGGAGCACAACGAGCCCAGTACGCTAGGACAACTTTGCTCACCGGACTGGTGACGTCTGTGGAGCACGACGAGCTCAGTACACTAGGACAACTTTGCTCACCGGACTGGTGACGTCTGTGGAGCACGACGAGCTCAGTACACTAGGACAACTTCACTCGCTGGACTTGTGGCAGTCCAACACATTGGACTGCCACAAGTCCAGACAGCTCAGCCTTAGGCAGATGGCAGCCGGCCGTCTATGGTTCACACAACCAACCAGCTCAAAAAGTATTTCACCTTTTGCTAGGTACAGATATAGTTGAAATGATGAAAGAAAAACATTGCATGCTTTCCAAGGCCACTCGCGACAGTTACCTGAGCAACTTGAAATATCATGGACATCTCGCAGTACTCGCCCTACTATTCTACCGACCAAGAGGCTTATTCAGCTGGACAACTCGTTAAGAATTTGTATAGTCAGCCGCTTCCTGATCGCAGGGATAACCACAGCAGTGTCTGTTATCCCCGAGCGACTTCCACTCTCTAACTACAATACAGTGTGGCTTGACAATAGGTTTATCATATTTGCACATTACAAGATGGAGTGCATTTCGTTCTTGCGGCATATTCATTTGTCCCTGAATTAAGCTCATTTCATTTGATTCTCTATGACGGCCAGGGCGCCTTGCTTTAACAAGAGACTTAGCCTTTCAGTGGAGCATTTCTCTGTTCGCGATGAGCTGAATAAATACACGAATGCCTTAAAACTCTTTGCCTGTTTAATGGTACAGCATGCTACAACATCCAGTTTATTGTTACTCGGAGCCGGCAGAGCCTTGGCTATCGAGTGCACCATTGCCTCCCGACTTTAAATCACACAATGCAAATTTGCGATGCAGGTGTTGCCATTTAAACGTAACTGATGCGTTTGCAAGGCGGATTCTAATGATTGAACAGATGGCGATGATGAAACACAGCAGAAGGGTTATGACGCAGGATGACAATCCAGAATCTCTTTAGTACTTTGCTTGGCCCAAGGCAAATCGCGCGAAATCAGTCCCAAACAAGACTGAGCCACTTCTGGGTGAATAAGGCCAGCGTTGTGGAGGCGGGCTCTTCCACTCAACACAACACAGGACCCACGCCGTCAGCGTGGCACACGCCACAAACCCGATCAAATCTAACCGAGTGTATCGAGAAGACACCGATTGCTTCTCTTGTGATCTCTCCCGGCCGCGACGTTCCGTAAAAAGTCGCCCAGCTGCGAGCTGCGCCGGCCCACACTTTCATCGGTGATTAACGACCGCCGTACCGCGTCTCATTCCGTGCCCGAAACATGTGCGTTAATGCACGGGTATAGTATTCAGTTTCTACGTGACGGCGGGAGCGCATATGGCCCGCCCTGTCGGCGGCTGCGGAGCGGTGAGACGCCGCCGCTGGTGACATCCTCGAGAGTGGACGGCGGAGAGTCACCGAGCCGAGCACGCTCCGGCCGAGACGACGTCGGCAGAGTCTGCGATTCCGTCTGCATCAAGGTCTTCCTCGGGGCGCGCCTGGCATTGTAGCGTTAGCTCCAGGCGCCCGTGGATATGATGCTATGGTAGGCCCAACACCGTCTATTGGATACGTGACGGGATAAGCTGGGTGGCACGCGGCAAGGGTCACAGAGTAGCCCCCGGAGCCGCAGCACGCGCTGCTTTCCAATCCGCCCTGGATTACCGGGCGCACCGGACGGCGCGTTCCATCAGGACAGGCTGTCGGCTGCGATGATTGGCCCGAGCTCAGCGGGGAGGTCCAGTGCGACGGCAGCTGGGGACGGAGCGACAACCGCCGGCAAACTGACGAGCCGCCGTCCCTAATCACTGGCGGACCCGGCCGGCGCCGGCCGCCGAGTCGTGCGCCGACGCAGAAACAGCAGCGGCCCCTGCCGCGCCAGCCTCGAGCCTGCTGAGCGCGCGGAGGCGCCGGCCTCGGGCCGACACTGCCCGGTTAGGACACAGCGTAGTGTTTACTACTTCACATGGGACATCCAGAATCTTTTTTTGTAGCGTTTCCTTAACGCAGGTTTTTACGCACTCCACCGGGAATTCGCAGGAAAAGCGGATGGCCCGGCCCCGGGTCGCTTGGTAAATGAAGGCGTTCAGCGATCCAGTGAAACCCACTGGGGCCGCTTGCATGCGAAGCAAGGAAATCAGATGGACGACATGAGCTCAATGCGCCTTTCCAATAACACAGCTACCCGAATCGATCGGGCTGTCTTTCACAGATCCGTGTTCATGCGTTTCCAACTGAAACGTTGCACCGCGTTCGTCAGTGAAGTGCTGGTTTGGTACAGTGGACGAGCAGAGAGACGACTCCAAGAAGCTGAATCAGCGGGAGCGGCACGTGAAAGATGATACCTCTTCTCCCACAGCGTGTGTACTGAAGCGAAGCCTCGACAGATGCTGGGAATTGCCGGATATCCATCTAGAGCAGGGCGGATGTTATTTGGTCATCAAAGTTGTTGCGATCCAGGAGCTTCGTGAATGCACATGGAAAATGGCACATGTCGGAGTCAGGGCGAGGTCCTCTAGGCTGAAGCTGGTAGATCCCTGGGTTGGGGGTGCTGGTCACTGTGCCCAACCCTTCCAAGGACGCGTGGGTCGTGGTGGTACCGGGATAACCCCGGCACCCGGTTGGCAGCACGCATCATTAAGGACAGTGCTGAGCGCCAGAGGATCACGCCATTTGTATCAGTCTAGCTGTGCCGCACTGAGGAATACATGAGTTGGTCTTATTGTTGGTCTTATTGTTAGAGTTGGTCTTACTCGAAAGCTCCAGGTCTTATAACCCGTGCGATGCATTCTTGAAACCCCGACCTTCCATCGCCCGCGCACCTTTCCGTCTATATGTACATGCACGTAAAACATACGGGTGCGATTCCACCTAATACTAGTGCAAAATTTCCTCAGATTTGTGAATGTTTAGTTCATAAATATAATTATATTTAGTTAATAAATATTAATATGCCTAGTCCATAACATCATGTTTAGTTAATACATATCATGTCGAGCTCATAAATAACTTAACACTGACTGCATAATTTCCCAGGAGTCTCTTCCACTTGCCTGCGCTCCTTTTGCCGCCGCACTGCTGAAAGGTAACATGCATTATCTCCCGCTGAAAGATCCCGCTGCCGTGAATCACGCGTAGCGCAAAACGCCCGCGGCGCCTCTGTGCGGTGTATTGCGGGGACACAACAAACACGATGCCGTGTCCGATCCTCAACAGCACCTGCACCACCTTATCTGGAGAGTTCCTCACCGAGCGAGCGTCCCGCTCGAAAAATAAACGCTCGTCACCAGCCACCCGTCTACGACTAGCACTCTCGCCACCATACACTCGCACCACAGACAGCCGCAGGCCCCGGACCGGCGCCGCGCTCCGCGATAAAGCACTTGGCGCCTCCCGCGGCCGACACAAGCGAGCGGCGAGTGCGCGCTCCCGACGTCACACGGGCGGACGGCCGACACCCGGGTCTGTACGGCGCGACAGGCGGCGCGACAGGCGGCGCTACAGGCGGCACACCGGCCCTACTGGGCGCTCCCAGGTGCGGGCGGCCACATCACGCTGTGCTGTATGAAGGCTCGTGACTTGCCGTGCCGCGCACGTGACGCCCAACTGACCGTCACCCAGGGCGGGCCAGGACATGACAGGGTCGCTCAAACCCCGGCTGCCACGAAGAGGCGTCGCTGACACAAACACACAGCAGCACTCAAATAATATAGATATATCGACGGCCGTTGTGCTGTCCCGACTAAACAAAAGCGGCGGCCAAAGACGGCATCCAGATTCATCGGGCTGCCAATGTGCCCAGATCACCTTACAGTCGCTACGCGTCTACAAGGGCTTCTCCAAGACCCCGACCGCAGCGGGGATTACCACAACCGTTGCAGGCACCAGGCACGCGGCGCCTGGCAGCACTCGGAGGCGCCCGGCGCGTCGCGCGTCACTCAGTCCGCCCCGGCCGGCCAGGTCGGCCCGGGCCGGACACCACTGGCCTTGCGACTGCCACTTCCGTCCCCACTGACCGGCCGTCCTCCTCCAGCGCCGGCCGCGGCCCGCGGTCGCCGCCGCCGCTCGGCGGGGCGGCGCCGCCAGCGGGCACCGTGACACGTCCGGGCGGCCGTCGCATCCGACCGGCGCCGGTCCGGGTGCGGCCGCCCCGGCCGGCGCCGCTGAGCTGATCCGCAGAGTCACGCGGCCCGAGGACGGCAGCTATTCCCACTTCTCCCAGTCGTTGCCCACGCTGCTGTTGGTCTCCGCGTCGATGTCCTCCTTCACCCAGTCGTCGTCGTTGCTGGAGGCTGCGGCACACGGGCGGCGTCAGTCTTCGCAGTGCCGACCGCAGCGTCAGGGCCGGCACCACTCCACGACTCGCAGCAAGCTATGCCGCATGAAGATTTACGGCGAACCGGCGGCTCTCGCGGTCTTTTCAGGGAATGCAAACTTTAACCAGGCTGTCCGCGAGAGATTGAGCAAGCCCAACATGCGGCACACTATTGCGTCTGAGGACCAGGTAGCCGACCTGAAGACGACTCATGACGTCCCCAGAACGTGAGCCAGACCAGTGGAGAGGATTTACCGCGTCAAGAGAGCGCACGAGCCAATCACACAGAGCCGGGGGGGGACACCCATCCTGAACAGGAGACCGGAGACGGGAGGCGAAAGAAGGGAGACGAAAGACCGGAGCCGGGACCCGGGAGACAGGAGACGGGAGATGAGAGATGAAAGACGGGAGACCGGAGACGGGAGACCGGAGGCCGAAGACGGAAGACGGGAGAAGGGAGATGAAAGACCGGGGCCGGGAGACCGGAGACGGGAGCCGGGAGACTGGAGACGGGAGACGAGAGATGAGAGACCAGGAGACGGGAGACGGGAGCCGGGAGACCGGAGACGGGAGACTGGAGACGGGAGCCGGGAGAGCGGAGGCCGGAGACGGGAGCCGGGAGACCGGAGACGGGAGACGGGAGACGAGAGACAGGAGCCGCGAGCCGGGAGGAGAGGTGCCCGACAGGAGAGTTGGCCGACAGCGACAGCGTACCGTGTTCGGGGGAGCGCGAGCCGGGCCGCTCCTCGCCGGACCCGGAGCCGGCCTGCGGACGCTGCTGACACTCGCGGTCGTAGTCGGCCAGCAGCTGATCGGCCTGGGCGTCCGTCACCTCCACGTGGTGGCTGAAGTCCTCTGCCGCAGGGGCCGGGTGAGAGGGCGCAGCCTCGCTGGGCAGACGGCCGGCCTCTGGCGGCGGCAGCGCGGCGTCGCCAGCGGACGGCGCGGCGCGGCCGGGGCCCGACGGGGTTCGGCGGCCAGCTAGGGAGAGGACCGCGCGTGAGAGGGATGGAGGAGTGGAAAACCGGGCCGTGAAATGGAGAGTTGGTCCGGTCAGGAATTACAGATGGAGAGACAACTGGCGCCCCCAGGTTTCGGGGGACGAGAGAGTGAAAACGGAATGTGGTGGACGTGGTCAGGCTGGGAGAGTGCGAGAGGGCCAATACAGCAAAGCAACTCCCTATCTGGTGGTGTTCCGACCCAAACGTGACGTGCAGTCTGTCAACATCCAGCACGCACGCAAGTTGCTTTTTCGGAATAGTTCTCACCACCAAGCCCATCACCGACCCCCAGCCGAGATTGGCAGTGGGCAGTTCGCCGTTAGCGCCGTCACTCCTGCTCACGGGACCCTTTTCCATGTAGTCTGCGATGGAACATTCCCGTGGAAAACCCACACTGAGGTGAGATTGGATTGATTGGGATGGGGTTGAGCAAGAGTGAGAAAAATCGCAATCGCCTGCGCAAATTCATGGTTACAAATATCTGTTAAGAACTCCACACGATAGGGGACATCCCATTGAATTAGTGCCGAGTGTATCTGATTTTATTTTGCAAAAAGTCAACATATAACCCGACTGAACGACATTTCGTCGTAACGAGAGGGAAGAGTACACCGCAAGAGTCGGCCGACATTCCAACCGGTGTGAGACAAGTGAAGCTGCTCGAGTTGCGGCCTGGCGATGTGTACCGAGTCATTTAATGCCATACTGATGAATTCGTCACCAGTGCCATACGATCCGGAATGGAGCCGACACTGAGTACGCAGTGATGCAGTTTAGGCAACGCAGCAATTTTCGATATTAAGCGTTTATGAGGTGCGAGCTTGAAGCATATAGCGTGTGAGGCATGTTTTAATGTTACATTACAAATCCACCTCTGGTGTACACCAGCGTTTGTCAAGTGCATACTGAGCGAATAGCGCGCAAAACATGGGCAATCTTTTAGTGCCACAATACAAATCTAGCTTTGACATAACCACACCAAACAGGGAAAAGCCGAAGCTGTTGGCCATGTCACGGCGTGATCAGACGGCTCACACAGAAAAGCGTGTTCGGGTTAGAAGGCGCAGCAGCATGCTGATACGACAGTGAAGTTTGACATTCTGCGCGACAGCCACAACCCAAGCACAAGCATACAGCAGAAAAGAGCGGCGGGACTTACTTTTTTCATCAGAGTCTGCGCAAGACAAGAAAAGGAGTGCATTAGAATGCGATTGAAGCCACACAGTCAAGCACACGCGAAATGCCTGGGCAGTGACTATCTTAAGTCACACAGCACACACTGGAACGCAGGCGTGATATCTGCATCCTGCCCCGAACGACGCAAACTGCATACACACATCCGCCAGCGAAAAAGATGTACCCGAGCGAGCACAGGAAGCCTAGCATCTTAAGGAAGTAACAAACCCATCCTCTACCCGTGTTTAGTAAAGACAATGCCGGGAATACTCGCATATATTCAAGTATGGCCCGGTCCTGCACAGCAAACGGATCGTCAAATGTCCATAGTTACGTCCCGCGTCTCGCGAGCTCCCCGAGTCGCCCAAGTGATACAAAATCGGCAACACTGGCCATGTAACTTAAAAAGGGAGTGAACACAACGCTGGTTTGTAAAACGTTGGACGAATTCTCAGTGTCAAAAACTAAAAACCCGTTTTTTATGTCAATATTCAAGACTGCGCCCTGTCACTCGCCGAGGGGGACCATCGAGGCTGCTGGAGAAACGTGACACGCTGGCATGTTGACATGAGGAAGTTCTCCAATCTAGCTAGTCGTCCACGGATAGACTATACCGCGTCCACAACTTTTCACCACAAATGGTATGCATCGTCCATTGGTCGTATGTCTAAAGTAATTCCAAACCGATGCGCTGTCCAGTGCGTTAGCCGACAGCATTCCCTGTCAGGTGTTCTGTACACGCGGTGACTTCCGAGCTTTCTACATTACAGAGCGTCCGACGCACGCCACTCATTCCCTCCCGTCTTTCATGCAAAGCGGTCCGTGCGTGCGTACGGCGTCATATTTACCTCCCTTCCCGATGACCAGCACCCCTGCGCCGTACACCTATAGGGTCTGTGTGAGGGACAGGGAGGCCCTCTGCCCCGGTGTCTTGCCAGCCCGGAAGCGGTTCTCTGGTCCGTGCATGTCAGCGGACGAGCGCCGCGCACCGTACCTTCCTCCCACGTGACTGCTCTCGGCTCCCAGTCTTGCTCGGTCCTGGGCCAGGGCCGCGGCCGTCGGCCGCTTCCATACCCGGAACAGATACCTGGCCAGACACAGGTACGACACGCGGCGTCAGTCCCGCTCCTCAGTCATTACCCGGAACAGATACCTGGCCAGACACAGGTACGACACGCGGCGTCAGTGCCGCTCCTCAGCCAGGTGTACCCAAAACAGATACTTGGCCAGACACAGGTACGACACGCGGCGTCACAGAGTCGGCCAGCCGATCCCACATCCAGAAGCGATGGTACGCGATGTCCCAAAGCGCTGGGTTCTCGAACGATCCGCCCGTTGCATCCATCCATTCCTCATCCCTTCCAGTGAGGTGGAGACCGCGCGGAGCGGGCTAACCCCAGAGACGGCCCCAGTGGCTGTCCGAATGGCGCCAGGAAGCAAAGCACCTTCACGAGTTCTGCGCAGTACAGCGAACACCAGGCACAACCGGGTGGAACGCGGACGCCCGGCGCCGCCCCCTCGATGCCCGTCGCAGCGCCCTCACCGGTGCCAGAAGAGCACGTGGCTGACCTCGGCCGGCACGAGGCGGGTATACTGGTCCAGCACGGTGCGGCTGGAGGCCAGCAGATCGCTCAGCTCGGCCTGGCGCGCTTCCAAGTCCAGCTCGGCGCTCCAGGCCTCGTAGCGTGCCCGCTCCGCCTCGGCCGGCTCCGCCAGGTAGGTGTTCGGGTCGGCCGCCAGACGGTGCAGCTCCGTCTGCCGACACCACGCCGCCGTCACACACCGGGCGAGATATGGCGCGCTCGTCGCCAGCGCGGCGGCGTCGTCCGCACGCCGTCTGGCCTCCACTGGGCTGTCGAGAACAAACTGTGCGCCATCCAAACCACGTCCACGACACTATCGCTTTCCTCAAGCGCATTTCCGCAGTTGACTCCTACTCGGCTACTGTTTACGTTTACAACTTACTTCTGTACCATAAAAGACTGCACGCTATCATGCTAGTTCCAAAGAGCAAGTAACATAAAGATAGCTCGGCTATAAAAAAAAAAAAACAGTCGGGCGGAAAGCCTTAAGTTCGGGGCGCAGCCTGTTCAGCATACCGCCAGCTGTACATGCTCGGTACCACAACCCAACCCACGGACTGACCTGCAGCCGGTCACAGACTGACCTGTAGCCAGTTACGGACTGACAGCCGGCCACGGCCTGACCCACAGCTGACCACGAACTGACCTGCAGCCGGCCACGGACTGATCTACAGCTGGTCACGGACTGATCTACAGCCGGCCACGGACTGACCTGCAGCTGGCCACGGACTGACCTATAGCCGGTCACGGACTGACCTGCAGCCGGTCGAGAAGCACGGGCTGGCCGTCCCGCAGAACGTAAGCCTCTGTGTCGTCGTCCTGCATAGTATCGGGCGTGAACGCCTTTTGCACGTGCGTCAGAAAGCCAGACACCGACTTCTTGACCTGCCCGGCGGCCGACGACTCGTCCTGGAGCTGACAAGGGTACGGGGTGTCAAGACGGAGAGGCAGGGGGCTGGGGGAGCGGAATTTGAATGAAATGCTTGCCACGACAAATTCCTGGTCTCTCCATACGCTTCTTCATTCATCGGATTTTCATCGTTATGCGTCACACAACTGATTATGAAGTGGAGTGATTAGCACATGGTGCACACTACACGTGTCAGAACAGATGGCATCGAGTTCTTAACGGCCGCAATGCATTCGATGGGTCGTAACCTGGCGTCGCAGATTGGGGTCGGTGCAAGGTGTGTTCTAGGTGCCAATGTGTGCGGTCAGTGGGTGACGCCACTGCGTCCATTTCGCAACAAAACAAATGCCATGTCCTGCGGTGTATCCGCTAGGCTCCGTTGCCGCCGGCCTGGGTCAGACCAGAACCCTCGGTGGTCTCCGCAGCCGGCAGGCCATCCGGGACGGGGCCGAGCGCGCCGCGTCCAGCGTCGCTGCTCGGCCGGCAGGCCGCAGCCGACTGGAAAGTCCAGCGCTGACAGCGCCCTATGGTACTGTCCCCTTCCGATTATAAGCTTCAGCCGACTGGAAAGTCCAGCGCTGACAGCGTCCTATGGCGCTGTCCCCTTCCGATTATAAGCTTCAGCCGACTGGAAAGTCCAGCGCTGACAGCGTCCTATGGTGCTGTCCCCTTCCGATTATAAGCTTCAGCCGACTGGAAAGTCCAGCGCTGACAGCGTCCTATGGCGCTGTCCCCTTCCGATTATAAGCTTCAGCCGACTGGAAAGTCCAGCGCTGACAGCGTCCTATGGTGCTGTCCCCTTCCGATTATAAGCTGCGGCCGGGTGTTGAAGGATAGCCGGTGGCCAGAGGTTGGGGAGCAGATGCCTGGTAGCCAGAGGTCGCACACTGGGTATCTGGCAGGTGCAAGAGGAACGCTTCTGCATGGAATGCAGATCCCGAGCGGGGCGGGGGGGGGGGGGGGCAGCTGGACCAGCGGCTAGATTGTAGTTAGCTGTCAGCTAGATTGTAGTCAGTAAGTCAGCTGGACCATAACGACCAGCAGTGGTGCCAGGGAGGCTAGGCTCGCCGAATTCCGGTCGAAACTGAAAGCATCGACCGAACAGCCCCAGTTCAAGCCTGTTCAGACTGGAACAAACTGGCCCAGACCGGTTCAGACTGGCTCAAACTGGCCCAGGCCGGTTCAGACTGGACCAAACTGGCCCAGACAGGCTCAGACCGCGGCGGCGGCGCAGCGTCCGCCTGGTGCACGTGCCGCCGGCCGGCAGCCGACCCTCCGCCGAGCCACCCACCTGCAGAGTCTCGCGCAGCGACTGAGACGTAGAGCTGAGCATGGTGCTGGTCTCGGCCTGCACCGCATCTGTGAACTCGCTCAGGTCCTTCTTCACCATGTCGTATACCTCCACCGACTGGCAGCGAAGAGAAGAGAGCGTTACAACACGGGACCCGGTCGAGCCACGGAAATAATGGCAGTCGAAATCATAAACAGAGGCAAAGCAAAGCATGACATTCGGCTTAGTTAAATCCCAAAGCTCATGTTAAGAAATGCTGAAAGCGCAGTACCTGGTACTCATCTCTGTTCTATCTACAGTCATAGGCTGATACACCACTGGTATGCGCCTCTATTCTATCTGCAGTCAAAGGCTGATACACCAAACTTAGCTGACGGCTGGCGAGGAACGCGGCACGACAGCAGGGCAATGCTGACGCAAACAACTGCCACTGTAATTATACGCAACCTATCGAGGTATCAAAGTCCCCGATAGCCTTGAGTTTATTTTGACAAACCTTCGCCCTAATTCACCGTTTTTCCTACCGCGGACTGATAGCGGGGGGGGGGGGGGGGGTCGGCCCGCTGCGCGCGGTCCGCAGAACCGTCGGTTACCGCCCGCAGCCCGCACCGGCCGCGTATCTCCATGCTAAGTTTCTCGAAAATCGTCGAAAATTTCGTGACCCGAAACACTAGTGACACGTGGTTTTGAGTCAAAGCGCGAAAAACAGAGGATATGGAGCATTTGGACGCGACTGCACCACGTGCCGGATGCAATATCAAAAAAACTTACGAGGGAGGGAGGGGGAGGGGGGGTAGGGAGGGCGGGGGCGCATCGACCCCCTATCAGGGTGGGGGTTAAGCGTTATCGCTTATAGTATACTACATGTCAGTTAATAACAATATTGGCTCTATCGGTGCTGTTGTGCAAAGCGTCACCCCGAATTCGTTACTAACTCCGCCCCCCCCCCCCCCATCCCCGCATACACTCGAAAGGACGTATATTGTTCGTAGCAATACGAGCCCGGAAACAGACAATACACCATATATTCGCACTTAAATAGCTTAAAATACGCCTGCCTGACCACGACTGAGCATTGAGCTACGAGCACCACGTACATGAAGCCCAACGAGTAGGCCAAGTCTCACTGATGCACAAAGGCGGGCGAGCACGGCTAATGCCGGCTGGGTAGGTAAATCGGGCACCATGCTGTCACGTGATGTGATAATAGATCCTATCCAACCAGATCCACATACTGCTGAGCCCTGAATGAACGGCAGGGTATTCGCGGCCGTAAACAGCCACCACAAAAACACCATCACCTATCGGCAGATCGCTACGTGCCTCCGTCACGGCCGATTGCACAATGTCACGGGATCGGGTCCGTTATGTCGGAAAAAACACAACGGCGCCACACGTACCAGTTCCTTCAGACCGATATGTCAAGCTTCGAGGATGTTCGAGGACCACGACATGGAGTCTAATGGGATCTGATGTTGTCATTCAAAGCACGACTCGTGTAGCAATTCGCACCTGTACGGTACCGTCGTGGCGATCGTGAACAGTAATACCTGGTTCGGAAAAAGTCGCAAACCCAGCGAATCCCTTCGGTCGTAACTCTCTGGGCCACAGTGCAGCCATAATGGAAGAACCACTACTTCCACTCTCATGCCACAACCGACATTTCGCAGAAGTGTTACAGCGTAAGGAAATAAACCCATCGCGATAAGAACCAGGTGGATGGGGAGGGTGTGCCACAACTCTAAGAACTCAACGGCGAATACGTTCGTTGGCAGGCTAAATCACATTAAATATGATACTTCCATTTACAGCCATATGATTGCACCATAAACACACACACACACGCACGCACGTATATATATATATATATATATATATATATATATATATATATATATACAATATATACCATAGTTGTACCACAATTTGGGTACCCTGAACAGATTCCGTTCCATTCCACGGAGATTAGCAACAGTAGCACGTGATGTGATTCAAGGTTATTGTTTGAGGCGAAGCAACAGGGCTGCCATGAACACCTCCAAGGTAAAAATTGCATCCCTTGCCAAAAGGCAGCAGCACTTGCATAGTGGCAAAAAGTAGCTGTGGTTGGAAGTGATCATCTAAATGGCTTACTTACTTTGTACTTAGCCACCTCCAAGGACTTCATCCATCCCGAGAGCCAGCCAGAGGCGACGTTGGCTAGTCCAGCCACTACATCATCCATACTGCAGACACAAAAGGCCACATCACTTGCCTCTCAGCACAATATGCAGGTTTAGTCGCGTGCATTACCGACGCACGCAGACACCGACAAGGAACGCAATTAAATGACGCATCCGAAAACACCGTAGCTTCGTCAAATCTATTCAAACTGAAAAAACACAGCGGTCGAAAACGGTTTGTTGAGTAAAAAATAAACTGAAAGATGATCACACCCAACTCTAGAAAGATTTCATAGTTCAGAAAATCGCCACGCCGCAGACTGAGCCGGAAATCGACCAGATCGGCAGCGTACCTTTGATCCTCCTGGTGAGTCTGTGATTCGCTCGACCTTTGATCCTCCTCGTGCGTCTGTGGTTCGCCCGCCTTAGGCTCGGGGATCGGTGCGGTCTCCTTGGCAGGGGAGCTGACTTGCTTGTCTGGCTCAGTTGATGCATTGTCAGGCGCCTTTGCCACAGTCTCCTTGGCAGCATCTGCTCCTTCCATTGTAGCTCCTGTTGCAGGATGTGACAGGAGTTTACAAAGTGTCTGATTTATACAATGCATTGATTAACTTAGGATGATAAGGCCACATCATAGCCCATCTGTTCTACCAGCAGTGCTATCCCTGACCCAACGTGGACCAGAGAGCATGCTCAATGGTACATGTTGGACTGCTCCCCACTCTCCCCACATGTGCCATCTGGCCTGTCTGGCAGTGTTACCTGTAATGGCTAGATGATGCCAAGTCCCTTGTCAGTTACTGTGCTGCACACGGTTCCAGGCCCAGTTCAAGGACAGAGTAAAGACCAGCATTGGAGAAGATGGCCCCAGAATCTTTTCCACACAAACTTTTTAAGATGATAAGATAAGACAATTTTTTTAAAAGATGTTGCATCCAAATTCCACAGAGGCACTCCCAATGTAGGAAGCAGTCCTAACATCCAATGTAATCAGAGGTGTGAAGAGCCAGGGTATATTTGTCTGCATTACTTTTCATTGGGACTTGAAGGGATGCAAGGTGTTACTGTCCATCCCATGGAGCATGGATTGGATGGATGTGCACAATTCTTCAGACATGCAGTTTACCTTGGCCTCTAGTTTCCTTCACATGACATTCTGTTTATACTGGGGTTGAATGCTGTTTTTTTTACTATAGTTACACCACAGCACAAAAAGGCATGAAACCATAATGACCCATGATACAGGTTGTCAATGAACATTGATTGATAATAATGTTACATAGTATATCATTTTAATAAGCTGAATATTGTGAATTATAAACTGAAATTGGTCTAGCACAAATGACAAACCTGGCACATATTTTTTTCATCACAATGCTGCATCTTGCTTGAGACTAGGCATGGTGTTCAAGATTGTGTGGGCTTACAATACATACATCATAATATGATTATGACACAGTATAGTGTGCAATCATGAAGTGAACCTTTAGATGCAACATGAATATATGCAAATTACAAATGGCCTCAGCTATCCACATACCCTGGCTCCCTATTTATGCCAAATATATGAATTTAGCAACTGTAAGTAAGAAACAACCTAAATGCATAAAAATGTATTTCCAACAATGCAAAGCAAAATTATACTCAGATGCAGAGTACGCATGACCAAACATCCTCAGCTCAATTTATTTTATGCCAATAATGGCATTCATCAGCCCTTTAAAAGGTTTCAAAACCTGCCCACATAAAAAGCTCTTAGCTACAAGTCTGGCCACCCACTACATCCATTTGAGTTGATTGCTAATAAACTGCAAATGCAGCAATGTAATCCAGCTTTCTTCATCCAGGGGTTATCATTAAAACTATAAACACAAGAGAATCCATGATATTTAGGGTGCTTAATAATCCTGATATGGGTTCAAACTATGACTTATGAAGAGCAAGGACATAAAAGATGATCATTCTCTGTATGGGCCTGATGCTTCTGTTATTTTCACAGAGGAATAATTAATGCCTCTGGGGTGAGAGATGCCTTACCTGCTTCACCCTTCTTAGTTATATGGGCCAAAAAAAACCACCAGGGTCAGTGGGTACTCCACCCAGCTAGTTTTGAGCAACTAAATTATTCTTTGTTTTGACCATATAAAATAGCACTAGAACAGAGCTAGACATCACAACACTTAAAAGTGGACACATCTATGCCTGCATAGGCCTGCTTTGCTGACCCTGCCAGTCAACTGTGAATCCAATTTTCTTGGCAAAAGTGACGTCCACAAAGGAAACATGAAAGATTGTGACAACAGAGCAATGCAGATCTGGCACAGCCAGCGCTGCAGGGGAAGAAGGTCTACACATATACTTATTCCTGGTTGGTGGTGACATTTAACGGTTGGAAGGCTGGCGCTCATTTCTCAACAAAACGTCACATCAGAGATTGTAGGACGGGAATAATTTCCTCAGGCGTGACGCTACAAATGGACCCTAAATGTTTGTAGCCGCTTGTAAAAAGTAAACAAAATTGATAATTCATGCATGCGCCTACGCAGCTCTCGTCGAGCAATCAGGGGCAAAGTGACAATGCTTATTGCGGATTCAATACGCACAACCCCAACTCGCGTGCATTCCTGAGGCCTCACAAACTAAAACAAGGTCAATGTACTGCGTATGTGACGCATAAATGCGCTATAATGGACTTAGATGCATATATCAGCTGAGTGTTTTCTATGACGCAAGTAATACATTAGAAAGTGAACTTTTAATCTTTTTGTTGGTGCTCACAACCTAATAGAGTAAGCCTTGTTGAAAATAATTTTAGTAAATTATTTTTATTGGATCTATTTTAAAAAAATAGAGCTTTTGATTGCCACTTAGACATCTATAGATAAATAACAAACGTCATGTAATACAGTCAGGTGGCGCGCCAATCCAAGCTCCTCAGTATGACGCACCGAATATGCCACCTTTTTTGAAGATCGAAAAAAGCTTGACTCTGCTGCCCTCTTCACGACTTCTTACGCGGCCTTGGGCCAGACTGGTGGAAAAATACAGGCGAGAGCTAAGGGGTCTGAATGCATCGGTGTCATTTGGCGTAGTTTAATGATGTGTGTTTGTACGTCAAGCCGAGTAATGTGTTTCTGCGGCGTAGGCGATGTAGGTACTGCTAACCTGCTGGCTTTGCTTTTCGGTATGAAATACGATCCCTCAGCTTGATAATGTTTTTCATCTTACAGGCGAAGATGTGCATGCACCTAACGGGTTGATTTAAGCTGAGTTCTCCTCGCTTTCATTTTAGAATTTTTGCTGAAGATGGTGCTGCTCAATTTTGATGATGAGGTAAGTATTTGAGTGTTGTGGATTTTGTATTACATTATAATTTTCTTAGTTTTCTACTCCACTTTTCTATGAGTAAAACCTGTAGCTTGATTTATGAGTTTCCTATTAACTTAAGTGTTAATGGATGTGTTTATCATGTGTTTTGTCATTTGTTGTGGCATGTGTCTGCAAAAATCCATCTACTGTGCCAGATGCCCACAAGGCTATGTGCTGAACCTTGTGCTTGTGTGCACCAAAACAGGCCAGTTTAAACTGAGCTGAATTTTAGATTTCACTTTGAAACCATTTCCTAGAACACTGAATCTCTGTCCTGAAGTTGATGACTGCACTAAACTCAGACAGCTCAGGTTTATAGCAGCAAAGTGCTGAGATTCCTACTGTAATGCTGCTCCTGTATTGAAGATGCTTGGTACAACATGTATTTTTTATGCAGTCTGGCCTTCAACTATAGTGTTGCCTACTTTTCAATCAATTTTTAAGCTGCAGTAGTTATGTGTGTGTCACTAAGGTAGTCTGATAGCTTGTCTCCAAACATGGGGAGGTCAGACAAGGTCTGATGTGGGGTACAGTTCTGTTTCAAGCATTGGACATTGAGACTCTCAGAAGCACATTTTTATATGCATAATATAGCCAGTTTTTATGGTGTCATAAAATCAGTTAATCCCTGGCTGTGTTGCATGCCTTATTTATGCAGCAGAAGTTATGTGATATAAAAATAATAGAAGTGTCATAACATTTGTGTATAACTTCCCATCATGGTAGTAATAGTAGAGATTCTTTAACTTTGATGTGATATTTGATCAAACATCTGATTTTATGTGCTTTGTCCATAGCCAGAGGTGGTGAAGTGTGTGTTATCTCATGGGCTCTGTTCACAGCCAGAGCTGGTGAAGTGTGTGTTCCGTGGTGACCTGGGAGAAGTGCAGCAAGCCCTTCAAGATGGTGGTAATGTCAACTATCAGGTAGGAAACATGTTTGCTTGAAAATCTCCCATCATCTGCTTTTGACTATCATTAAGTATTCAAACCCACTCCTTTATTTATACATTTTGTGCATCCTGCTACCTCAGTTTGTTAGTGTGTATTTGGACTCACCTATTCATGGTAGGATGGGTTTGAGTTGTTTAAAATGTTTGCTTTCCCCTGCCTCTAAGTGTGGTGGCCTGTGTCCAGTTGACAGCAGCCACACTTGATAGTGGATGCTGTCAACATGATCAAATAGTGGAGTCATGTGTGATCAAATAGTGGGGTCATGGCTTATGCAACAAACCATTGCTTAGCATGGGCTCTGATCCCAAGTGTTCATCCAATCAAAATGTTTGGATAAGTTGTTTGACAAACATTACCCCCTTGTAAATTATGGCATTCCCATCTTCACTGATTCTCCTTTGCTGGTAACACTATCAATCTGTGTTATGCCTGCCAGGCACATGGATGAAATGACTATGAAGAGTCATCTGTACTTTGGGGGTGGTACAGTCATGTTTGATCTGCATATCAAGAGAGGAAACCAGAATATCTTCACATGGTATTTTAATTGTGCCACACTTGACTAAAATAATTTCCTGGCCCTACCACAAAAACTGATTAGAGACTGCAGTTCTGTCTTAAATCCCCAACATGCATGACGTCGCTGTGAGGCGGCCCCACGTCGGTGGCGTGATGCCGCGTGTGTGGCAGGACGCTGAGCAGCGGGCCCCGCTGCACGCGGCCGCCTATTGTGGCAACGCCGAGATCGCCGAGACGCTCCTGCTTAGCGGCGCCCGCATCAACGCCAAGGACAGCAAGTGGGCGACGCCACTGCACCGCGCTTGCGGCCAGCGCCACGCGGTTGGTTCCCCGCTTCGCCCCGCCCTGCCCGGGCTGGCTACGACGCAGTCCTGGCCGTTCCTGGCTGATGGTGACGACAACGGGCCTGTGTGCCGACAGTCGTCGGAGGATGTGCATTTGGATACCGTGGGTGGGGCTGTCATGTAATGGCGGGCTTGTGGTGGTCTCATAGGAGGTTTAACTCCTGCTGTTCCTGTGCTGATTATGCTCACATGATCATGACCATAATCTCTCCGCGCGCGTCGCTTTTTTATGGAAAGGGCTGTCATGTTTGTCAACCAGTATTATTTTTCCCATAGCTGCAAGGGTCGTGAAGCGGTTTTTCACATCAGCTGCTAGTGACGTACTGAAGTATGATAGGTTGTTCTCGTGACCGCAAACGCTATCTCCCGCCACTTCGCCGAATCCCTCGAGTCAGTCGTGTGGACTCACCCATCCGTGTATAATCCCCTTGCGTGGACCCCGTCCCCCTCCCCCCGCCTGAGCCGGCGGGCGTCGGGGCGCTCCTGTCTGCCGTGGCCGTCGAGCCGTGCACCAGCCGTGGACCCCGTCCCCCTCCCCCCGCCTGAGCCGGCGGGTGTCGGGGCGCTCCCGTCTGCCGTGGCCGTCGAGCCGTGCACCAGCCGTGGAGCCCGTCCCCCTCCCCCCGCCTGAGCCGGCGGGCGTCGGGGTGCTCCTGTCTGCCGTGGCCGTCGAGCCGTGCACCAGCCGTGGAGCCCGTCCCCCTCCCCCCGTCTGCTGTGGCCGTCGAGCCGTGCACCAGCCGTGCGCTGGGGCCGGCAGGCGGTGGTGGCCGTGCTGCTGCAGCACGAATGCGACATCAACGCGCGCGACAAGCTGTGGCAGACGCCGCTGCACACGTGCGCGGCCAACGGCGCCGTCGAATGCGCCGATTTCCTGGTGGAGGTGCTCACCACTGTCAACACGTCGGACCGGGCCGGCTGGACGCCGCTCCACCACGCCGCCTACCACGGCCACCTGCAGGTCAGCGGCCGCGCCGCCGCGCTGCCTCTCGGGGCCCGCAGCTCCGTCACCGCGTCACGCGCCGGCCGCGGCCTGCGGCTTGACTGAGGATGTCGCCGGATGTCGCCAATCGGCTGTTGGTGTGGCTGTGTAGGGCTGCCATTAGGAGCAGGGCTAGTTAAGCTCTCCTGGGCAGCATGCTTTCAGGGCTGACTTATCGCGGCGTTGTTTTCGTTGGCTGTCTACCATCACCATAATGACTACAACGGGTTTTGCCAGATGCCGGCCACCGTCTTCCGAAGATGTGTGCGCTGTAATGGCGGGTAGGTGTGTTTTCAACTGACGACAAAATGCATGCTCCGATCAACTGGCTCATTGTAAGTGCAATACGCCTTCCACCAGCCTTCCACCGCATCAGACCGTTGTTCTGTGTGCCGTTGTCCTGCGTAACGTCGTGTTGCGTGCCGGCCCCAAATCTGACACCGCTGCCACCTGTCGACAGATGGTGCAAACACTGCTTGGTCTGGGCGCCGCCGTGAATGCACACGACAAGCGGGACCGGCGTGCGCTACACCTGGCGGCCATCAGCGACCACGTGCGCGTGCTCCGCGCGCTGCTGGACCGCGGGGCCGATGTCAACGTCCGCGACAGAAAGGTGTGTCCCACTGCTGTCCGGCCGGCCGGGCGATCCACAGCTGGGAGCGTGAGGACCCAGCTGACTGATTCTTCTGAGAGCTTGTCGGTCGAAGGCGACTCAAAAGTTTTGATGCTTACGTGCATGGTAGCTGCATGCATCTCGGTCGGGCCTTTTTCTTTCGCACTACACTTTTCTTGAAATTCACATGGGTCAGTAGGCCATTAAGTAGCATTCCCCTTAAAGGGAGTGTCCGACTTTTGGAGCAGATTTCAAGAACATACTCCAGTGAAACATCAGAACCAGTTACATCTAATAATGACACAGGGTATTACCTCTGCAGCACCATCAATGCATATTGCATTTATTAATTTTGATTAGAAGTCCAAATCACGCTCTCAGTACTCTGTAACAATGCTACTCTGCTTCCCTGCAGCGTCATGACGACCACCGTGACACGTCTACTGTTGCGAATAAAGAAAACGTTTGTGATTGGCCCAGATGGCGGCAAGGGCCTATTATCGGGAAGCGCATTGATTGAAGTTTGAATCAGTGCGTCACTTTGGACCATGCGCTGCTCCCAATTCCAAAGTTAAAGAGCACAGAAAAGAACCACTGTGGTAAACGCCGTATGGAGAAATCAAAGCCATAGCATAACGTTTCGTCGGACTCGCAGGATAGAAGTTTCCTATAAGCATATCTCTTTGTCCAAGCAGAGCGTTTCAAGCTTTCGTGGCATTTATTACGCAAGCACTTTGGCGCATTAGTGTACTGCAAACGTAACGGAACGCACACATTGGAGAAGGCAAGGGAAATTAAACGCATAACTTTTTAAGTGGTTGGCAGAAACCCAGTGAGATTTTCCCCGGAGAAGAGGCTGCTTCAGCTCAAAATTCTCAGCCATTCAGAAGGCTTCCAAAAGAACTGGTATTTCTGATCAAATGTGTCTGATCTAACAAGTGAAAAGCATAAAAGGTGGCATGCTCCCTTTAATGGCGGTTGCATGGTGGGCAGGAGGTCATCAGCTATCGTGTGGGCAAAAATACACCGATTTTACCACCAAAACCGCCGACAATTCTTCGTGGCATTGCCCTCCTTGCACACTGTCCACATCTACCTATGGCAATACAGTATGCAGGTGACATGATAAATAATTGTTTATGATATGTATGATATAGTGGATGACACGGAAACATCTCTGACTTGAGCATGGGCTTACAGTGGTAGCAAGCAATAGTTTCTCATTTTTCTGAAAATATCGCGCTATGTGTTGACATGTGCCCCACAAATATGACGGGGAGGCTCCGCTGGGAAATGAACGGAGTCAGAATTAACGCTGGATGTGTGAATTGCTCTGGATGGAATGGTGCTAAAACATTCCATGATATAACAGAATAGGGGAGGGGAGTCGGCTGCCTTATAACTGAGCCAGGAGCCTCAAAAGTTTGAGCGTTGTTGTTGTACGTTGGAGGTCCCGGGAATTCTTGGGTTCAGTATTTGTGCCTGATTACAGCGCTACACACATGCTGGTGTTCAACGCAATGATAATAAGTATGCAGCTCCTGTTGGGGAACCTCTTCTGCAACTAACACGACAAACGATAACGTGCATCAATAACGATACGAACAAACGATAACGTGTACCAATCGTACCCGGAACATTGACCGAGAAAATGGATCAGTCCTGGCGTGCCTCCACTACTCCCCCCCCCCCCTCCCCCACCCGGCGCGATGGATAATGATGAGCCGTGCCGCGCGCAGTGCACGTGGCCGCGGCACGGGTCCACGCTGGCGCTTCAGATGCGGGGCTGTTGACGTCGCCCGGTCGCCTCCGTCCGCGCGGCTTAACTGTCAGCGCTGTTGTGCTGAGCCGGGGTTTTGTGGTGTTTTGAACGGAGTGCGCCGTGTGGCAGGGCTCAGCTAGATTACGTGATGATGGCCTCGTTGAGGCGTGACACACTCAGGTCACTCAACATAAAGCCAGTTGGTCTGCGGGGGGGGGGGGGAGGGTTTCGTTGGGGATGTTTGTTTTTTATCATTCTCTATGACGTTATGTGTCCCTGCAGCGCAGTTGGTAGGGCGTCGAGCGCTTCTCTGTATGTGTTAGTCATGACGCATCACGTCGAATGTGGTTTTATTTGACTGTTAATTTGTCACCGACCATGAGGGCTAGACCGTAACGGGAAAGAGTACTTTGTAGTTATATACATATATGATACATAATATTTACAAAACTAAATAAGGTCGAATTTTTCATAGTAGAATTATCACGTAGCGACATATAGGCAACGAAGCAATACTCAAAGTAGTGTACGACAGAATATTTTTCCTTTTTTTGTATGAACGTGGTACTTTGTTCGCACATGGCACATGATCAAATAAACAATCAGTAAACACGTAATACAAAAACGTGAAAAGCATTGATGCGTAATGAGGCATTCGCCCTCGCGCACTCCTCCTTTTTCACGCGGCCATCGTCACTATTTTTTTTTCTGTAGCACACATCACACTGTCTTTATGCACCATATCATGCGATGTCGTATGCTGGCGCGATCAACAGACCGCATCAGTTACACCTGTAGAGATCAAGCTTGGCTCTAAACACTACATTTATGATTATGCGACGTTATCCTTTTAGGGCAACCAGCAGCAGCGTGCTTTTTGATCTCGTAAACACTTCGCACGTGTGCTTTCAAGGTGCTGACCAGCATGGCTTACCTCATTTTGCAAAGATGCATGCAATGTTTGCCAAATAGAACCAATATGCTTAATGCGGTGAAACTACAGGCGCGACGAATATGACGTTCGAAATCCTGCCGCTAAGCCTTCTTGGGCGATGGGGCAAATAAATGTAGGCGGAGACGTCATTCCAGAACACGCATTCAAGTCGGCAGACGTAGAAGCTGTGCGCCAATGTATCGAAACCGCCCGAAACTAGGCAAAGTGGTGACGGGACGGGGCTCGCTAGCAGAAGTGCGATCTCACCTGACGTGATGGGTCCTCACGTGGTCAAGGTCCTCAAGGTCCTCACGTGGTGTGTCACGGTCCTCACAATGTGTTTCACGGTCCTTACTCGGCGTGTAATGGTCCTCACGTGATGTCTCACGGGCCTTACAAAGGTGTCTCACGGTCGTCACGCAGCGTCTCGCAGTCCTCACTTGGTCCTCACAGGGTGTCTCACGGTCCTCACCCGGTGTCTTGCGGCCCTGACGTGGTGTCTTGCGGGCACCGGCAGATGTACACGCCGCTGCACGCGGCGGCGGCGGCCGGCCACGGCGGCGCTCTGGACCTGCTGCTGGCGGCGCCCGGAGTCGACGCCGAGGCGGCCAACGCGGCCGGCTGCACGCCCCTGCACACGGCCGCGCTCAACGGCCAGGCCGAGTCGCTGCGCTGCCTGCTGGCGGCCGGTGTCAGTGTGCACGCCACCAACCGGCGCGGACAGGTCAGCAGCGGAGGGCGGCGGCACACGGGTCGGGCCGGGCGCAGTCTGACACGGTGGCCGGAGGGACGTGGGCTGATGGCACTGTCAGGGGCGTGGTCAGACTAGTCGGTAGGAATGGCAGAGACAGGGATAGGTAGCATGGACGGGGACGAGTCACGGGGTCAAACGGATCAGACAGGTGGAGTGGGGTTGGGGTGGGGAGGCGCTCTGTCGCGGGCAAGGCAGACGTATGGGGCGGAAGGGCGGGACCAGCAGGGATAAGGAGAGACAGGTGACAAACGATGGGCATGGCTGGCAGGGATGCGGTCAGACGAACCCGGTAGGACTGGACTGACAGGGCCAGGACTCGACAGGTCATAGGGAGGCGGGCCGACATGAACAGATTGTTGGGTACAGGCGAATGGACGATATCTTAGCTACGACCGTCTCCAGGCAAACTCTGCTCTTGATGCACCTTGGTGTTCGTCTGCGTCAAACGAACCGAACTAAGCCCTGAACCCGGCTCTCGCCGCCGCATGCTCCCGCGTCCGTGACCCCGCGCCGCCGCCGCCGCCAGACCGCGCTCCATCTGGCCAGCGCCGCCAGCCGGGGCAGCGACTGCGTGAAGCTGCTGCTGGCGCGCGGCGCCGACGCACGCGCGCTGGCCGAGCGCGACGCCGTGACGCCGCTGCACATGACGGCCGCGCACGGCCGCTTCCAGCGCGCCCGCCTCCTGCTTGAGCGCGGTACGTACGGCCGCCCCGGCCGCTGGGGCCGGCGAGGCGGTCTGCTGGGGCCGGCCGCGCAGCAGGGTTTGTGTGGTGCGCGAGCGCCGCGGGTTTCGGCCGCGTAGGGAGTTGGTCGTCAGAAGTGGCGCGACGGCTGTGGGAACGCGCCACTGCCGTCTGTCTGAATGGGTGTTCAGAGGCGGCTATGCATCCGTGACGTTGACGTCGCTATGTCCCATATGTGTTCTCATGGTCCAGTGTGCTGGCGCTGTGGGAACTAGGTTTGTCGTGCTTGGCTCGTGTCCGTGCTGGTTTATTTTGGGGGAAGGTTTCCCGACTGTCACGCACGTAACCTTGCTTTAAGTGGTAACGACTGTGACGGCGACCTCTGGCTTATGCTGTGACCTAACCTCTCCCTTCACCCTTGACATGGTCACCCGCTTAAACTCTGACCATACCGCTACCCTGGCCACTGGCATGGCCTTCAAAATAAACTGACCTGCCCGATCTGGCTGCTGACATGACCTCTGACCTTATTTCTGGCCGGGTCAGGTACGTGACCACTGCTTTGACCTCAGACCCTATCTCTGACGTGACTGCTGTGTCGACCTCTGACCTGACCAATAACCTGAAAGCTGACCTGACCATCGACCTGGCCACTGACCTGGCCTCAGACCATGTCATTAGCATGATATCTGACCCCAACACTAATTTTGCCACGGACAACCTCCATTGCAACCACTGACCTGGCCGCCAGTCTAACCACCACCCAGCTTGTGACCTGGCCCCTAGTCTATCACAATGGAATGATCAGCGACCCGACATCAGACCTGACCTCTGGTATGACTGGTGCTTGACCTCTGACCTGATCACCAATCTGACGTGTCATAATCACCGACATGGCCTCTGGCATGGCCACCAACTTGACCTCACGCCTGACCTCATACTTAACCTGTGACCTGGCTCGCACTCGTAGGCGCCGAAGTGGACGCGGTGGACAAGCGCGGCTGCACACCGCTGCACCTGGCCGCCGCCTGCGGACACGACGTGCTCATCAAGACGCTGTTGCAGTACGGGGCCGACGCCAACCGGCCAGGGCCGCATGGTACGCCGCCGTCCGCTCCGAGGGTCACGTGGGAAGGTTCCCAGGGGCGCGGTGACTCCAGCATTGGCGGGCCGTGTTTGCCGAAGCTGTGTTGGATGCTTCAACCTTCGGTCGATGTTTGCCATGGCGATCTATATGTATATAATGTATATATATATATATATATATATATATATATATATATATATATATAATGTGCGGTGACAGGGGGGATTTGTCCGGAATTGGCTAACAGCCCTGAAACAGACACCGCCATACTTCTGGTTCGCCTATTGAGAAGAATACGCTCATCGGGTTGAAGTGGAATGCTGTCAGCCGGGACACTGCTGGGACGCTGGACGGGACGCTGTATCAGCCGGTGTGTGCGGCAGGCATGACGGCGTTGCACCTGAGCGCCCTCAACGGCTTCACCGCCTGCGTGAAGCAGCTGCTGGAGCTGGGCGTCGACATCCGGGCCGTCGACGAGCTGGGCCGGACGGCGCTCCACCTGGCCGCCTACAGGGGGTAAGTCCGCGACGCCTCATGCCGCGCGACTCGCGGCTCTGGCCGCCGCCGGATCCACTCAGTTCATGGGCTTCGCTGTGCTGTCCCCACGCCCTGCCACGTGCTGGTGTCTGACATCACTGGGAAGTTGATGCTGCACCGCTGACTTAACGCTGACTGTCAGAAGCAGTCCCAGGGACAGCTGCCGGTAAGCTGTCGCTGTCTCCAGGCCCCGCCCACCCGCAGCTATTCTCCGGTCCAAAATTGTCTGGGACTAGGCACAGGGAGGCGTCATCGATGAGCTGATTTGGTACCTACTGCTTCCTCGGCAGTCATATTTAAATTCGTGTCGAGCATCTCAAGGCGTGTTTAACATTGCTGCAGCGTGCGTGCTTTCTGACAATGTCGTGTAATTCGCCTCCTTTTTGGCGCCTTTATTCGGCGCCTTCTCAAGTCCAACCTGCCTTTCTGCCTCTCGCCGTCGCTTCGTAAGGGGAGTATCGCACTTTGTACGTTTCACTTATCAGTACATCATACGCGTGCGATTTGATCAGTAATATAATTTTGTCTAAATCTCTCTTAATAACTCAGAATTTCTATTTGAGGTAGCCGACGCCGCGGGAGAAACTTCACCGGATTCCATGCTCCGGATCCATGCCACCATGGAAGTAATTCATTGATTTGCCTAGCTTTGAACATGAGTAGCACATAATCCATGTGCCGCACTGGTTCAAACCTCAATCAATGGGCTTCTCGGGAACAGCCACGTGCCCGCTGGGCCAATCACAACACTGACCCAACACTAATTTGGCCACAGACAACCTCCATTGCAACCACTGACCTGGTTGGACCTGACCGTTCTTTTATTCGAACCAGCAGAGGTACGCACGGTAGTTGTCATGACGACGGTGGTCGTGACTAGTGAAGAAGCGTAGTGCTGTTACAAAGCGTTGATAACGTGATTTAGGCTCGAAAATAATTATAATTGATATATTTATGTCTTGATGGTGGTGCATAGGCACAACTCAGTGCTTTGTTAGACAGAGCTGGTGCTGGGATTTCACTACAGCGTGTTTTCGAAATATGACCCAAAGGTGGGACACTCGCTCCCCCTAAAGCCGGTCCTCCAAATGGCATCGGGGTAGGCGCTGCGGCTGAACTGCCGCGCCGCCGGCGTCGGTAACCGCATGCTCCCTCGGTCGCCAGTAACCAGGACAGCACGGGTCTGCTGCTGGCGCTGGGTGCTGACCTGCGGGCCGCCGACCATCTGGGCCGCCCGCCGCTGCACTACGCCGCCAGCCAGGCGCACCACGGGGTCAGTACTGCGTGCCAGCCACGCCACAGGGCCAGCACCGTCTGTCAGGCACGTCACAGGGTCAGTACTGCGTGCCAGCCACGTCACAGGGCCAGTACCGTCTGTCAGGCACGTCACAGGGTCAGTACTGCGTACCAGCCACGTCACAGGGCCAGTGCCGTCTGTCAGGCACGTCACAGGGCCAGTGCCATCTGTCAGGCACGTCACAGGGCCAATACCGTCTGTCAGGCACACCACAGGACCAGATCCGTCTGTCAGGCACGTCACAGGGCCAGCACCGTCTGTCAGGCACGTCACAGGGCCAGTATCGTCTGTCAGGCATGTCACAGGGCCAGTACTCCGTGCCAGCCACGTCGCAGGGCCAGTACCGTCTGTCAGGCACGTCACAGGGCCAGTGCCGTCTGTCAGGCACACCACAGGACCAGATCCGTCTGTCAGGCACGTCACAGAGCCTGTACCGTCTGTCAGGCACGTCACAGGGCCAGTACCGTCTGTCAGAAACATCGCAGGGCCAGCACCGTCTGTCAGGCACGTCACAGGGCCAGTACCGTCTGTCAGGCACGTCACAGGTCCAGTACCATCTGTCAGGCACGTCACAGGTCTAGTACCGTCTGTCAGACACGTCACAGGGCCAGTGCCGTCTGTCAGGCACGTCACAGGGCCAGTACCGTCTGTCAGGCTCACCACAGGACCAGATCCGTCTGTCAGGCACGTCACAGGCCAGTGCGATCTGCCAGGCATGCCTCAGGACCCAACACCGTTTACATGGTGCACCGCATGGTTGGTTTCTCTGCACCACCCTGTTGACGATGACATGGGCGGCGGGAAGGGGGGGGGGGGGACGGCACACGCGAGACGCGCATGTCGTGCCTGCCCGCTGGTGCGCTACTGTGACTGGGCGCTGCCTCCGCTGCTGCAGTGTGCGGTTACTGACCCGTGCCGTGCCGCCACAGGTGGTGGTGATGCTGGGCGTGACGCACGATGACGTCACCCGCACGGACAGCGCCGGACGGACTGCGCTGCACTACGCGGCGGCCGCCGACTCGGACGGGCGGTGAGTGCAGTCTGCGCTGACCACCTCAACACCTGGCCGTGAGGAGAAAGCCGCCGTGTCCACCTCTGTACTAGGTTGCAGGAAGAGAGCCCCTCTGTCCACCTCCGCATTTGACTGCGGAGAGAGAATCGCTCTTTCCACCTCTACAATTGGGTACGGGTAGATAGTCGCTCTTTCCACCCCTACACTTGGCTGCGGGGACGGAGTCGCTCTGTCCACCTCCACATTTGACGGCGAGGAGAGAGCTGCTCTTTCCACCTATACACTTGGCTGCGGGGACAGAGCTGCTCTGTTCCCCTCTACACTTGGACGGGGAGCGATGGGTAGAGAGACGCTGTCTTGTCTGGACCCAGTGAAAGTTCGCACTATCCACTTCAAAACTTGGCCTGGCGAAAAAGTTTCCTCCGTGCGCTTCAAACGTAGAGGCAGAGGGCCGTCTGTCCACTTACACGCCCAACAAGTGCAAAAGTCCGCTTTGTTCTCCGCAAGACGGACGCGTGGGCACCACTTCCAGCTCTTCTGAACATCGATCCACCCGCCTCGCCTTCAACTGGTGCTCACACGCTTGTGTGTGGGCGTTGGTCGCCAGGCAACCGTCCCAGGGGCTCGTGGGGTGTCCGAGTCTTTAAAAGAGGTCGTCGTCGTACTTCACGCACTGAGGAATTCTCCGGATCCTGCTTCTGCTGTGCAAACGCAGATTTGTTAACAGCTGACGGAGCCATTGATTGCGTCGTCCGCTTGCCGGCACGCATTGTTAATGTACCACACAGGGTGTGCTCCCCTCACTCTTACAACAAACTCCTGCTGACATTCCAATAAATCGTTAAGTTGAGCACCGCAGGCACAAGGCGTGCACCGGAGCGCCGCGTCGTCGGGCGGCGGCGGTGCCGCGGCCTCCGTCTCCGTGTCCTCACGCCGGTTCGGTTCGCCGGCTGCGGTGCGCGGCCTGACGTCCCCTCCCCTCCGCGCCCTCGTCGTTCGCAGCACGATCCAGCTGCTGCTGCAGCAGGGCAGCGAGCCGACGCGGCTGGACGACGCCGGCTACTCGGCGCTCCATCTGGCGGCGGCCTCCGGCCACCGGGCCGGCCTCGACCTGCTGCTGGACACGCGCGGGGCGCGCGCCGTGGTCGGCGCCGTCGGCGACCGCTGCCTCCGACCGGCACCCCTCCACCTGGCGGTGAGTCCGGCGGCGGGCGGGCGGGAGAGGGGCGACCGAGGCACCGCGCTCTCCGCCTCTGACGGCGGAGAGGGGGATTGTCGAGCTGGGAGCGGTGTAACGGTAGGCTCGGGGTGCTGCGAATCCCGAGACATATTTGAACAGCTGCTTTTCCCTTGCGGACTGGTGTCCGAAAAGCCAATATTCGGATGCGCTATGCGCCATTCTGCAGTGCGGGCATACGTCAGGGCCGCGCGAATGTTGCGCAGCCTCGAGTACGTTGTTACAATTTCATATAGTGTATGGGTTAGAGAAGCACCACACGTCTTGCAGCATGATATAGCGCTATGCCACAGTGACGTGGCACGCCCGATCCTGAACACCATTTGAAGTCAGGTGCGCACGTCCGTAAGCGCCAACACACACCAAGCATCATTGATCTCACTACAGATACCTGCTCGCATCACAGTTTATGCTAAGCACCCATATCCGACGAACCTCAACGACCATCATTCACCGAATCACTGCCGACCGCAGGCGTTCCATGGCCACCTGGCTAACCTCATCAACCTGATGGCCATGATGGACAATGTCAGCCTGCGGGACGACCAGGGCCGAACTGCGCTCCACCTGGCGGCCGGCCGCGGCAACCTCTCCTGCGTGCTCTGTCTGCTGGAACAGAAGGTACGCACGGGGCCACTGGATTGTGCGTGTGGTGTCTGCTGAACGAGAAGCTCCGCACGACTGTCACCTCTGATGCGAGCTTTGTGTGCGGGAACCGTAGCGGTGACCGGGCGCAGTTTTACTGAGTACCATGACCATGGCAGGGCGGGTTTTAGGGTGCCAGTGACGTAGTGGTTAATGTGCCTGCGTTAACCACTGCGCGTCTGGGCAACCGGAGCTACGTTGCTCGATTCCCCGCGGTGCCCGCCTTTCCCGCCAGGGTGAGAGGCCGGCGACGGCATGTAACGTCAGCAGCTGAGTGCGTCCTAAAGCCCCAATGAAAACAACTGCGCGGGGTTTGGAGCTCACTCACTAGTGGAATCGGCTCCCGCATGTCTTAATCGCCACTGCCCTCGCTGCGCCCGGCGTGTGAGTGCGTGTACGGGTAGGGGGAGGGAGCGGCCTTCGTCAGCGCTGTGGCGGCGTAGCGGGTGCTCGCCGTGTCCGCTGGCGTTCGAGCCTGACCGTGGTGCTTGGTCAGCCGGCGCTGGTAGACGTCGCGGTCGGCGCGAGGGACGGACGGCGGTATCTGCACGTTCAGTCGACGCGAACGCACCGGCAGCCGCACTGTCGTGGCGGTCGGCGGTCCCCGCAGATCTCGGAGGTGTCGGGATCGCTGCCCCGATGCGCTGAGCGGTGCCGCACATCGCGTGGCGTCCGTAGCTGCCGGCTCTCAGGCGGGCCCTCTGCGCTGCATACAGGGAGCCGCCCACACTCGTGCTGTCTGTGCCGCTGCCGGCGAGGTCGTCGTAGCAGCGATTGCCTGTCCCGGTCACCGATGGTCCCACTCCAGAGCTTCATCTCAGCCGCTGTCTTTATGACGTCGCATGCGCTCCGGACCGCTTCTTCGTGAGGACTCACTGGTCCAGATTTGATTGGGGTGATCAGGGGCTGCCAGGCCGCGCTGGTATATTCTCGGGCATCTCCGGTCATGTTTATTTCTTTTTCGAGAGCGTGCTTATTGCATCGTATTGGTTTGGTGATCAAAGAGCCTGTTTGCAGATTGTGACATGTATTCTATGAGTACTCTTGGTACTGGGAATGGCCTCTGGGAAGCTGTATGATTTAATATTGTGCAAGTCATTTATATGTGGGCAACTGCTGTAATGAAGTTTCATGATGGCTAGGCCGAGTTCATGCCATTTGTAATATTTCGCGATATCAGACATGCGAAAGGCCAAGCCAGAGCCCAACAAGAGCAGGGTTGCGTCGCATGTGAGCAAATTCACGGAGTTTACGAAGTGAAAAACACTCGGGAAAGGCTGGAGAGGGCGCAGCCCTGTACACTGGCCGTCATCCACGGATTTTGTCACGAAGAGAACTGATGATCATGTTTCGACCCGGCTGGTATTAAAGACATGCAATGGTATATCGCGAAACGTCTGTAACACTGTGGGCTCAGAGAAAAGATTAGTGAAGCATTTGCAAGTGTAAGCTGGTCGGCGGCCCAGTGTCCCAGCGAAAATGATTCGCCTGAGCAACCGACCTAGCAAAGTCCAGCCACAGCGCTTGACTGATCAGGAAAGTTGGTGAACTGGGGTAACATTGCGATTTACCTCATCTCGAATCTCTCGCATCACTACTTTTTTAACGATTGTGTTGAGCTTATGCCTTTTCAGCCACCGATCGCACCAGCACTAAATTTTCAGCAACTGGTAGCACAAATTCTTAAAACTTGTTTCGTACAGTTTGTAAAACCCCTGAATGCAGACTGTTGGATGAAGGGCGTATTTCTGCAACGTTGCAATATAACCGTCATTTCAGATCTCAATTTTATGCACATGGGAAGCATAACTGAGAAAGTGTTTTATCTCGAACACGCTGAAGATTTGGGTCGGATCGGAGCCCAGATGTGGGCGGACAGTTGTCACCCGAGACAACGAGGACGTATTCTGATCAGGGACAAAACTGGCGGCGGCACGGACAAAAGTGTCGAGTCCATGTGGACAGCGGTCACGGGCACCTGTGCGTGAACAATGGCGCCGCCCTGCTGCGTACGTTCTCAAGGACTGATGTCAAATCTCGGCAACCAGAGCAGATGCAGGCGAGAAACAGGCGCCATGGTGTGGCCGAACGTACCGGCTGTATCCGCCGGTGGTTATCAACACTACCCAACCCATAGTCCGCCAGTAATTGGCCGGAAAGCGGTCAGTGTCACTTTCGCTAAAACTGATATAAAAAAACAAGACGCTCTGGCCCAATCCGATGTTGTTTTTTTTTTCGTGGCCTAGAAGTTCGAAAATTCCCTACAGCCTAAAGATCCGGCCGTGAACGCACTGCGCGCTTTTATCCCTTATATTATGGTCAATATCCACCCCAAAATGTCTACGATTGCGCAATACTTGTACTTAAATTTCGAAATGGCAAATCACCGCGAAGTCATTAATTACCTCAGTTGAAATGTCCGACCCCGGATGGCGCTCATAGCATTCGTCAAGCTGTCTATAGATGAATTCACGCACAAGGGTACATCAGTGGACCTCCGCCCTTTATATTATCATGAAAGGTGGACTCTCCAACGCCTTTACGGAAGCTGATGGTGTCAGTTCCCGAAAGGAATGTAAGGAGGGTAAATGTGTTCTAAAGTGCTACTCCTGTCATGAAAGGAAATATCTGAATTTTCTATGATGCCAGTTTTTAAACGTTATAATAGAGCACTGATTAGCCGTCCCACGGCGGTCGTCCGGCACTACCCAAATATTTTAGGGGTGTCCATACATTTTTTACGCATGCTTGGTCTTTTCACCCTACGCCCCCCCCCCCCCCCGCCCTCTGTCCTTTCCCATGGTTCGCGATGGCTACGTTGGGCGGAAGCGTTCTCGCCCTGATAACGCTGTGTTAGGCGTGACGTCCCATCAGGTAACGTCTGTTTGGCCCTTAATTAAGCCAGGAGGTGCAAGACAAAGACGGGCGTGCTGCTTGTAAATAAAGGAAACCAACGGAATTCGGTTTTGAGCTTTTCAGGCATTTGAAAGCATGATTTACAACTACACCTGATCATAATGTTACGCTGTCGGCTCTTCCCTGGTTACGCTTTCGTTACCCTCCATCGACCAGTCTTCCTTCATGGATAAGGTATTTTGGGGAGCCCTTGTAATTACACCGTGGCTATATTTATTTCTTAGTATTGTTCTATTTATGTTTTTGTTAACGCTGCAGCTATCTCGTTATTTGTCTTCCAGTAGTGGAACACCATTTATTGACAAAGAACCTTCCCTTAAATTTTGGGACCAATGCAGCTTTCTAGAAAGAAAGCGTCGTTTGTTCTTGCAAGCATGAAAATCATGTGCAAAGTAATGAGAGAAGTATCCAGATGGTAGATTGCGCCATCACTTATTACAGCGATCAATATAAAAGAGCTGAGCTTTTAACACGACGGAACACTCGTTTTTTGGTAGGTATTGGCACCCTAGGTAAAGTTACCATTATTCCACTAAATATGTAGTCTGTCCAGCAAAACCCACAAACAAACGTATCGAGAACTTTCATAAAATCGAGATGCAAACACAATAATTTGCTACCATGCTCACACAGCGTGTTTGTTTCCCGTACGGCATGGCCAGCTGACATGCAGGCGATATATTTTCTGAAGACAACTAGCCTTGGTGCTCACCTGTTATCGTCCATCGGGTGCTATGTTATGCACCATGAGTGCACAAAGTAACTTTTTCGAAAGTTGGAGGAGAGCTTGGGAGCTTGGAAATAGACGCACGGTTAGCGCATTGATTCTCATCTCCTAATTTGTAGACGTGCTTACAAAAATAGTAATATATCATTGAAGATACGGACAGATGTGGGCTTCTAAGAATATCATATTACTAATTTTGTTACTGGCACCTCCCAGAGAACCTAGTGATTTGACAGGACGTAATCTTTGAGATTATTTGTGGTCAAGGGATATGCACGATCCTGTAACGTTACACATGGGCTAGTGTCTGAGCCGCGCCGGCGTTTTCAAGCATTTGCCCAGGGAGAACTTGTGTCGGAACGTCGGCGTTTTGTCTCTGTACTAAGTTTTACAAAACACGACCTAGATTTTGCGGTTGAATGCACGGTCCACAAGCTGGATACATTTTCAATATTTCGGTTTAGGGAAAATAGGTACCGCGGGCGTGCTTTACGTCACCACTTCTCAGAAGTCGCGTGTTACAAATCGTTGCACAATCCCTTGTCATGGAGTGACGGTGATTACAGCGGTCTTGGCGGTGCGCACCGACTGCGGTGTCAGCCGGAATAGAAAGCGGGCCTTCTGCTTGGAAACCGTCCTACTAACCGATTCTCTGCCCTCCCTCCTATGTCACTCAATAATGTACATGCATAGCATGTGTATGAGCGTGCTCGCGCAAATACGTAACACCGTTGTCGACTCGATGCTCTTGGAGAAAGCGAAATGCCAACGTGGAACCACAAGGCTGCCATTGCGATGGTATCTTCTCATCTGCCTTGCCCGTGATGGATGATTGTAAAAGACACAGTACGAAGGTACCGTCTTCCGCACATTTTGACAAGATGTAGACCATCAACCATCGTCGGTCGACGGCGCGGCTGATTATTTCCGGTGAAATATGCCGGCGCACCGTCCGAGCGGTACGCATCGGCGATGGATGACCGTCCGCGGGGCACGCACGAGGCGGGCTCGGCTCGACTCGGCTCGACTCGACTCGGCTCGACTCGACTCGGCTCGACTCGACTCGGCTCAGCGGCGCCCGGCTCCAGTCCCGTCAGGCCGCGGCTCCTCCTCCGCCCGGCTCCGGTCCCGTCAGATCCGCGCCTCCTCCTCCGCCCGGCTCCGGTCCCGTCAGATCCGCGCCTCCTCCTCCGCCCGGCTCCGGTCCCGTCAGATCCGCGCCTCCTCCTCCGCCCGGCTCCGATCCCGTCAGGTCCGCGGCTCCTCCTCCGCCCGGCTCCGGTCCCGTCAGGCCGCGGCTCCTCCTCCGCCCGACTCCGGTCCCGTCAGGTCCGCGGCTCCTCCTCCGCCCGGCTCCGGTCCCGTCAGATCCGCGGCTCCTCCTCGCCGGCTCCGGTCCCGTCAGATCCGCCTCCGGCTCCGGTCCCGTCAGATCCACGCCTCCTCCTCCGCCAGGCTCCGGTCCCGTCAGATCCGCGCCTCCTCCTCCGCCCGACCCCGGTCCCGTCAGGTCCGCGCCCCCTCCTCCGCCCGGCTCCTGTCCCGTCAGATCCGCGGCTCCTCCTCCGCCCGGCTCCGGTCCCGTCAGATCCGCGCCTCCCCCTCCGCCCGGCCCCGGTCTCGTCAGATCCGCGCCCCCTCCTCCGCCGGCGCCACGTGTCCTGGCCTCCGGAGCCGGCCGTCCTCAGCGCGTGCTCGCCGCGGCGCTCGCGGCTGCTCTGTGAGGGATGGGCGGCCGCTGTCCGCGTCGAAGATCGGGGCGGCCGTTACGAGCCAGAGCAGGGGCGGCGGCGGGCTGCCAGCCGTCTGTTACACTGAGATTGTGTCCACGTCCGCCAACGCAGGCACGTGGTGTGACGTCGCGCATAAAGCGACCGCCGCCGCGGCCACTGGCTAAATCCTGCCGTTGCTGGCGTCTTGGCAGGTGTTTAGACGGCGCAGGCTCCGGTAATTTCGCCGAAAACTTTATCTGTGGTTTTGTACGACTTGACAGCGTAGATTGCCGTGTGCTCCTCGGCTGGGGATTTGATGTGCGCCGATGACAGTGACCTTGACCTTTGGTAGCGTGGATTGCCGTGTGCTCCTCGGCTGGGGATTTGATGTGCGCCGATGACAGTGACCTTGGGCTTTGGTAGCGTGGATTGCCGTGTGCTCCCCGGCTGGGGACTTCATGTGCGCCTACGACAATGACCTTGACCCTCGTCCCCAGGCCGACATCGACACATGCGACGATCGCGGGCGGTCACCACTGCACGCGGCTGTGGCTGCCGGTCATAAGGACTGCGCCAGGGCTCTGCTACGGCAGCTGCTTGCAAGGTGACCATCAATAATCCGACAGCGCGAAGATGTGCAGACTATTCTGTATTAGCCGTGTGATATCGAACACGGAGTGTCGGAATGTTGGACTGTGATACAGGTAGTCACGTCTGGTAAATGGCTGAAGGGCATTTTATCTGGCATCCTTTGCAGTTCGAAGACGAATATAAGCTAGCGTAATGGGATGAACAACATGAGATGCATGCTGAGGAAAACAAGATTAACCTTATGCCCATAACAGAATGAATTAGTCCAGTAAAATGTGTGATACTCCTGCCGTAGTCTCTCTTCACTACACGAACGTAAAAGCAAACATTCGATTCAAATCACAACATCGTGCAGTAGAACAGTAGCAAAGAAAGCATCGCACACTTTTGTCTGGCTGTAATATATCGGGCAACTCTATTGCCGAGGAATTGCATTACCAGACGGCGTCCTATGGAACAGGATTGGATAGGCTTTAACATGGTGTTCGAGCGTTCAATGTAAACTTCCGATTTCTTATTTCAATTGATTTTGCGATTTTTAATTCAGCAACATCTGTTCATATTTGTGCATGCCTGCAGGATGGGTATATTGAGCGAGTTTGCGTCGACGATTTCGCAGAATTGAGTGTTTGTGGTCTTGCTTTTTGGATCTCGGATGTGCTCGTTAAAGCGCTCCGGGACGCTAAGTTTTATCTCGAGACAGCGACGCACGTAACCTGAATCGATGGGCGCCAAATGACTGCACTACATGACTACGGGCGCGCCACTACAGCCGGCGCACCCGTAAACCCTTAAACAACGAAGTGATCTGAATCGAGCGTAGGCTTCATGTGCGTGTACTGACGGAGCCGACGGCTGAAACACATGAGTTTTTCTGGACTTGTTTGTCGTAGTATGAACATCAGGCTTTTGTTATTTTCCTTTGCATGACTTGCAATTCGTTCATTAGTGTGGTGCCCTGGGCTAGACACGGACAGTATTGTCACGAAGAGTTGAGGGATAAATGTGCTGAAATGTTTGAATTGCTGAAGGGCAAGGTAGGCATTGGTAGCGTTAATGGGTTTCGACATAATTGCATGCGTTTTGTCACGCAACGAAGTGTGCACGTTACGAATTCAAAAGCACGGCTGGCACGGATGTATGATATACGATGTTCACTGTCATCTTGTTTAAGTCCGCCCTCAGGCAGCTTCAAACTAATTTTGCAAAGCACCTGTGTGAATTACAGAAGCACGTGTGTTTCCACAAATACTTGCTTAGCGTTCACCTTAGCTGTAAGTACTGCGGAAAAGTTTCTCAAAGCATTCCAAAGTATTGGAGGAAATTATCTTACGTTGCGTAACCTCGTGGAAATAACAGCTATTTAACATGTCACGTTAAACATAATCGTGGAGACTCGCACGAGTGCGTAGATGTATCATGTAATACATTTTTCCTATGAAGATCAAGGTCATAATTTTGTTTTATGATGCATGATGTGCTGAGGGCCGTGCGTGTGTCTAGGGGATGGTTGCGTGATGTGTTGAGGGCCGTGTGTGTCTGGGGCGTGCCTGTATGACGTACTGAGGGCTGTTTGTGTCCATGACGTACCTGTATAATGTGCTGAGGGCCGTGTGTGTCGGAGGCGTGCCTGTATGACGTGCTGAGGGACGTTTGTGTCCGTGACGTGCCTGTATGACGCGCTGAGGGCGGTGTGTGTGTCTAGGGGATGGTTGTATGATGTGTTGAGGGCCGTGTGTGTCCAGGGCATGCCGAGCGCCCACGACCTGCCCGTGTGCTGTGCTCGAGGGCGTGAGTATCCGGGGCGCCTGGGCGGCCGTGCTGACTTGTCGACTGCGGTGCGCCCCAGGCTCCAGCTGCCGCCACTCGAGTCCTCGGAGCTCCGCCAGCTGTTGGCCGAGTCCAAGACGGTGAAGATGTGTCCCGAGCTGGACGAGGTCGTCAACAAGAAGGACGGCACGGGACGGTGAGTGATGCGCGCGACAGGCGGCGACAGCTCGCCGGCCGACTGCGCCGTGCCGACGGCGACACGCCGGTGCTCAGGCTGTAGGCGCGCTCGCCGTTACAAGATTAGTGGTTATTGGTCCATGTGACGAGAGGATCGCTCAATTTGCCGTTCGGTGTTCCGGTTATGGTTGATGGCTTAACTCAACAGGGAAGTCACGCGGCTTATCTACATGGCGTCGACACTGATGGTAACGACCCGTGTTGCATGTCGTCTAACGCCAGCCGACATCAGGAAGTGGCGCCTCGCCTTATTCAGTGCGCGCAGGCATTGGGTTGTATTTACACGACGCCATATGACCAACGTAGTCGGTGCGCCCCCAAACCCAAATCATCATCATCATGTATTTACACGATAGCAGGCTATGACGGAAGCGGCCACAGACGTGGGATGATTTTTTTTTGGGGGGGGGGGGGGTTCTCGGCGTCAATCGATGTGACGGGAACCAGTCTGCTCATAACACTCTTTATTGGATCTTATGCTGAAAATAACTGACTTCCAGTATACAAGGAGGTACTGGCAATCAAAGATATCAGGCAGTTATTGGGCTGTGTGACGAGGATGCTCGGCGATTCAAGCCGCGCTCACCGTTAAGAGTATATGAGGACAAGTACGCAATCGTCATTCAGAAACCGTAGGCGCGTGAAGACAGAAAATATTCGCCATTATGCAGTCTACCATTAAAAGAATGACACAATAATCAGTCGTCCAAGCTACGACATCCTTACACGCGATTCGCGGTATCTTGCTTCGGGTTCCTCGGCACACGAGAGGGCTATGCCGAAGGGTCTGCATTTACCGGCACCCGGTGCCATTACCTCGCGAATAGCATAGCTGCATGCATTCAGGCTCCTGCATTCAAACGCCCGACACACGGTGCGCGCTGAGGCTACCTGGAAGGTTTCGACGATCCGCGCCGAGTGTGCGGTTAGAAGGTGACTGCTAGAGCACATCAGTGGCGTAAACTATGGAGAGGAGTGTTCGCGAAACGCCGGCTCAAAATACGGTCTAAGGCGGCTCTTGTATTTTTAGCTCGGAACGAATGTTGGGAATGTGCAGGGCTACTAATGTCTTCAGACCTGCGTTGTTTGGCGCTGTCCCTGAAATTACTGCTTTGAAGCTGATGTTTGCTGCGCCGTGCCTCATTCCGGCGAGTCTGGCCTGATGTGTGTTACGGCTGTGGCGTGCAGGCTCTCGTTAGCACGCTCCCCAGGGGGTCACTCAGCTGGTTTGCAATGCTGTATTTTGTATCTCATGCATAAGGATCCCTCGGCATGGGCTACAATATATATATATATATATATATATATATATATATATTATGTGATCTATTCTGTTCATCCTTCCTTGAGGCCATGGACGCAAGTATGACACAATCTCCTTCGAGTCGGAAACCCTTGCGTCTTCTCCATGGATGATAGAACCAGAATGGACTTAAAACTTGGGTCACCAGCTCACGTCCCACTAAGGGTGCCCAACATGCTCAATTTCACGGCGGTATTCACCTGCTCGCGCATGCTGTCATGTATGAGCGGTGGTGTCACGTATAAGATTGCTTTTTCACCTTTTTCGAGCTCCTCGCGGAACTGGTACGGCCAAGCATCGAGAACGAGCCGCACAAACGGAAGCGGCGGCCGCTGTACCAGGCACCCGCTTCCTGGAAAGGGAGGGGCCATTTTAGCTAGACCACACTCCACGACTGGGATCAGAGGGGGACGCCTGCGCCTTCCGCATTTGCAATAACGGTGCCGCAGCTCTCCGCTGCTGTTTTGAGCACGGATGTCCCTAAGCTGTTGCTGTCAGCCTTTAGCTTGTCAACTTTGTCAACCTTTTGTTCGTTTACTTTTAACCTTATATGCGGGAGGGGTCAGGGGACCGTTTGACCTAGCCTTTTGCCTTTCAGGCAGGCCTTTACGCTTTGCCGTGCGTTGGGTGTTAGCATGTGGGAGTCTGAATGATTGCACTGATGTTCTTGGAAGTCGATTTCTAACCTTATGTTCTATACCAGTCGTGGAGGCCTTTCTGCATGGCTGTCTGTGTTTTTAGCAGCCATTCGGATTGTGCCGTGTGCCGGATGTCAGGACGTGGGGACCCCGGATGGTTTGTCTTAAATTATATGAGAGGGCGAATGAACGATCTCTTCATGGCGTTTTAATGGCGTAGTGTGCGCAGGTTTCTAACATTTTCTGTATTTCATGCGCCTTAGGCTGTTAAAAAGTTTTGTTTCACATTAATCACTTGTGACCATGAGCACTGCAAAGACATCGAGCATTATCCAATATACCCCAATGCTACTTAATCTGTACCTTCCGATATCGTCAAGGCCGGATATTTTCAGCGCAAACATTCTGTTTTATCGAGCAAAATACATTTCTATTGATACATTCCGCAGCCAAATAAATGGCCGTGTAGTTTTTTTTTAGGAACATACGGAATAAACTCCCCTGACCGCTACGCTCTGCGAGATAAGACTAGGTAATGGAACTAGCGCCTCCATTCTTGCCGATCAAGAACGTGTGGGCCTCTCGCAGAACAGCAAGCTCCCGTTCGTGCATCCGCGCACCTGTTTAGCTGCCGCTGATTCCGTTCACGTCATTCGTGTATTTCCTCTATCAGTTCTCAGTTTTTCACATGCCTCTGCTCCGTCATGTGTAAAGCGGACATTATGTCACGCTGCGGTATACGGCAAGCGTGGCGGTGCCCCACGTACCACGCTGCTTCGTCGCGCCGTCTGCCCATCCAGCCCTCGTGGAACGGTCTGTCTCGTGACACGCTGGGATGGCCTTCCGCGTCCTTAAGGAGAAATCTGATCACCGATACCGGCTTATGCCTGTGTGTCTGTGTTCCTAATTACGATGGCGGCCGCGGGCTCAGAGAGTCCGACCCCAGCTTTGAGAGCGTGGTCAGCTGGAGTGGCTCGGCCCGTCTTGGCCTGTTGGTCGCGCTTTTTCAAAAGTTTGCATCTTTGCAACCTAAGTCACTCGCCACTTATCGGTTGGGACACTGAGGGGCATCAGCAATCGGCCGGGAAGCGGTCAACGCCACCTTTCCCCAATTCGGCCTCGAAGACAGGTTGGGCCCGTGCCGATACAGCTTAGGCCATGTGAACTGCGTCGGCAGAAAGGCCAGTTTTGGGCGTGATCAATATCGCCCCCTTTTCGTAATGATTTGTCGCTGGCAGAAGCGAATAGACCATTCCAAGCGCTTCAGTTTAGTCAGTTACAGTGTTGACAGACTGTGCTGGGTTCAAGGGGAACCGACAGTTAAATCACCTGGGTTTTCACGTGACTCGCGGTCACAGACCATTGCACCCCGGTACCATGATTACTGCGCCTGCGCCTGAAAACCTCGCGAAAGAGGGGCATGCCAATGCGATAATACTGCCTGTTTGCATGTTTTCTCAAAGGCGATTGGCTTCATTTGCGTACGTCATGGTTTCCTGTTCGCTATGATTGCACTCGCCTTTGTGCCTTTTGGCTCGCCCCACGCTGCAGGGAGCGTGTTACTGTTAATTGCAATATGATCGCAGCTGCGTACTGAATCTCGTTCGTCTGTGTACGGCGCCTGCGTGAGGGATCCTGCGATGACGACGCAAAAAAACGAATATTAACCAACGGAGAGCATGCATTACTGATTGCAAAGTACCGTCTGTGCTACATGCGCAGACGTTGCACAAGACCTCGGCTTTTCCGTGTATGTGGTTGATAGCGCTAAAAGGAATTTTTCATATTTGAGGATATTTAAGCAAACATCAGATATGTTGATACAAGCTCCCTTAAACTATTGGCATCCTATGCAAGTGGAAAAGGCTGCTGTAGGCAGCACGATTCTCTGTTTAGTAAATGTACTGCTCAATGTGTCATGGTTTGATTACGTCATCGTTCCTTGCACAACATTGATTGATTGAGATCCAATTGATGGCAGTTGCGTCTGGAAATCGCGCTCACGAACGCTAGATATGAACGCCTGGGCAATGATGTTTTTGTTGACCTTGATCGCCGCATGGATTGTGGAATGGCAGGATTTGAATGACGTTATTATGATGTCTTGAATGCCAAGGTGACCTTGAAACACTCCCCGATTTACCTTTCCCCATTTTCGTGGGCGTGTAGCTCAGAAACTAGAGGGGTCTAGGTCTTTAGAAGGGCAGTATTGTTCACAGCACCGAAAAGTCGTCAAGATGGCTGTTTCAGTTCAAAACCCCATGTACATGTGGAACACTCTCTTTAATATATATGAAATGAATGTAAAAAGCAGCAGGCAGATGCCGAAAATTGGAGGATGAGAAACTGATAGAACCAGAGGATGGCTTGTCTGGGAGTCGGTGGGCAGGGTCGGGTGCCTCGAGACGTGACCACGTGACCCTGAGTGGCAGCCTTCGCGTGCCTCAAGACGTGACCACGTGACCGCGCTGGGCGGCAGGACGCCGCTGATGCTGGCTGTGGAGAACGGCAGCGCGGAGCTGGTGCTGCTGCTGCTGGTGCACGGCGCCCGGCCGGGCCTGGCTGACGCCGAGGGACGCACGGCCCTGTTCCGAGCGGTGAGTACGCTGGAGACGGCGCACGTGACAGCGTGCTCAGCATGATCCTTTGTCGCCTGCTGAGATGTGCGAGGAGTGCTAGGTAACTGCCGCACATAGGTGAGTTTGCTATCTCATTGTCCGAACGGTTACCTAATGCATGTTTGATTTTGTGTAATACTGAACCCAGTAGGTTCAACTCCAGCCTGTTGCCATAACGTGAGGTTGACAAACTAGGCTGATATTGAACACTATGGTGGACATGGTGGGTTGCGATAACCACTTGGCCATTGTGTAAATTCGCAATGCAAGGGCTTTGCTGTGAATTTGTACTGTATATGGTATACACAGGCGATTCATTAATGCAGTGGGTCCGCCAACTTAACTTATAATACTGGGGGAACTCATGTAAAACCAAGACACAATGGTATCTGGGTTTTACAGCGCAAGGTAGGTTGGGCTAATTGCTGCAATAAATTATGACTCATTGTGTGGTTGAATGCGAATTTGAATGCACATTTCTGAGCTATTTTCGTGCTTCATTCACTTTTTGTCTTCTTTAAGTCTTTGTGCTTTTACCCTAAGCGTATTCTAGGCTAAACAATGCACGCCATTACAAGCATAGCGATTGCCAGCAAATCAAAGAACGCATTTTGAAGCAAATTTAATCGGCGCAGATCCCTTTGCCCCATGATGGGCTAACTGATTAGTTAGACGCCCTGATGAAGAACATTGTTGAGTGCGGGGCGGCTCTGAGACCTGGAGATGGAGAACATTATTGAGAGCAGGGTAGGTCTGAGACCGGGAGGTGAAGAACATTTTTTAGAGCAGGGTAGGTCTGAGACCGGGAGATGAAGAACAATCTTGAGAGCGGGGTAGCCCTGAGACCGAGAGATGTAGAACATTTTTGAGAGCAGGGTAGGTCCGAGAGTGGAAGATGTAGAACATTCTTGAGAGCAGGGTAGGTCTGAGAGCGGGAGATGTAGAACATTCTTGAGGGCAGGGCAGGTCTGAGACCGGGAGATGTAGAACATTCTTAAGAGCAGGGTAGGTCTGAGACCGGGAGATGTAGAACATTGTTGAGAGCAGAGTAGGTCTGAGGCCGGGAGATGTAGAACATCCTTGAGAGCGGGGTAGGTCCGAGAGCGGGAGATGTAGAACATTCTTGAGAGCAGGGTAGGTCCGAGAGCGGGAAATGTAGAACATTCTTGAGAGCAGGGTAGGTCCGAGGGCGGGAAATGTAGAACATTCTTGAGAGCAGGGTAGGTCCGAGAGCGGGAAATGTAGAACATTCTTGAGAGTAGGGTAGGTCCGAGAGCGGGAAATGTAGAACATTCTTGAGAGCAGGGTAGGTCCGAGAGCGGGAAATGTAGAACATTCTTGAGAGCAGGGTAGGTCTGAGAGCGGGAGATGTAGAACATTCTTGAGAGCAGGGTAGATCTGAGAGCGGGAGATGTAGAACATTCTTGAGAGCAGGGTAGGTCTGAGACCGGGAGAGCGCGAGTCGGCCGATGGAAGATACTGACCGAACCAGAGGTGACAAAAGCGTTAGCGAGAATGCGCAGGATGCAGGCTGCACCCTGTGGGTAAAGACAGACCGCTGTTTCCTGTCGAGACGGCAATGGCAGCAACCGTAATAGCGTAATGCGCCCCATTCGTTGAGCGTGGTTGAGATAGTGCACATCAGTCATCTGTGTGATACGCTGGGCCGCCCGCGGTCTTCGGAGAACTTTGTTGTGCGGTGGCCAGAAAACAAAACAAGGGCCGCCGGTTTGTACGTGACACCGAGTGTGCGTTGGCATTCGCCGTGCCGTCGAGAAAACGGCGCTGACGGCCATGGCGAGTACTGTGTCCCCGAAGTGGAAATCGCTAAAACTAAGACGAATTATAGTCAACTGATGGGCAATAACTAGCTGGAGTCGTCCACGATATATGTGGCTAGAAATGCCTCCACTGACAGGATCGTTGCGGGTGCCAATGTAGGCCAATCGTATGCAGGATCGATGACAACCGCAACATCTATTTCTGCTCAGTCGGAAATGAAATATCCTTTAAGCAGACATATGGTGGTCTGCGGTGTGATTCTATTGCGTGAGCTTCGTTTCAGTGCGTACTCGCATTTGATTAACCAAGGACCGTTCTACATTGTTTTGTTGGAGTTCAACTCTAGCAATGTCGTGCTCAGTGCCGTTAATGCGGGAAGACTTCGAATTATTTTACGCCATCTCAGTGGGCAATAGCTCAAACATCTGGATTTGCACAAATAACATGAATGCCGTTTTCATGATTATGACGTCCCTTATGTGAAGTGAATGTTTGGTATCAGTGAATATCCTCCTGTGAATGTAAGCTCTCCCATTAGTATACCCTGGTAATTATCACCCTTACTTGGTTTCAAATAGACCAGTCGCTAGAGTAAGTTGTGCGAGCAGCGTGACCGGAGTCCTCGGTGACGGGAGTCATTCTTGTTTGAAGATATTAAAGCAAGCATCACATGGGATGAAACAAGCGCATTTATGACTATTGATACACTTTTGAAGTGGAAAAGACTGTTCTTGACAGCACAATACTCTGCTTAGTAAACATGCTCCTCGATGCGCCATGGTTTGACTACGTCATTGTACCGTGCACAACATTGATCAAGATCTTAGGCCGTTTTTTTCTGGAAATCACGCTCACGGACATCAGATATGAACGCCTCGGTAGCCATTTTTTTTGGGGGGGCCCTGATCCTCTCTTGGCTTATGAAGCGGCAGTATTGAGTGACGTTATTATGACGTCATGAATATCGAGGTGACTGAAGTACTCTCCCCATTATGCCTTTTTCCTTTTTCGCAGACGTGTAGCTCAGAAACTAGAGGGGCTTAGTCCTTAAGAATTGCAGGGTCGTGAACAGCACCGAGAGGTCTTCGAGCCTTTCAGCTTAAAACCCATACAAATGAGGTACACTCCCTTTAAACATCGATTGTTAGGCGTACACTCGCCCTGCACCCAACAGATCCAAAACGGGGTGTGTTACTCAGTTTGTCAGCGAAATAATGCTGCTGGTTTATAACGTCCCATGCAAGGCCATTGTGTGACGCCTGCGGTAAAGGCTGACTGGGAAGTACAAGGCTCTCGAAAACGTAAGCACAGGCTTGCAAAAAACCGATGCTGCTGTTAACATGGACGGCTGCTCATTGTTGTGATATACAGAATAGCCACCCGTGAGTACGCCTCCAGACGTAAGATGAAGAAATAAATGAACTCGGATCTCAAGGCCACCTTTCCGAAGCAGTTTCTAGCAGTTTCGGTTTCAGATTTCTACGAAAAAAACAAAAAACAAAACAAAACACCATGGCCACTTTGCTTCCTAACCCCACTCGCAGACGGGCATCCGCGGTAACGTGTCGTGCCGTGACTCGAGGCCGCAGGGCTGGCCGAGACGCCATGACTCGAGCCCGCAGCGCTGGCCGAGACGGCGTGACTCGAGCCCGCAGGGCTGGCCGAGACGGCATGACTCGAGCCCGCAGCGCTGGCCGAGACGGCGTCCTGCTGCAGACGTGGAGCGCGCTCCGGGTCGGCCGGCGCGTCCGCGACTCCGGTCCCGGCCCCGGCCCCGGCCCCGGCCCCGGCCCCGGTCCCGGCCCCGGCCCCGGCCCCGGCCCCGGCCCTGGCCCCGGTCCCGGCCCGGTCCGCCAACGTCGCTGCGGGACCAATCAGCGGCGCCATCGGAGTGTTAGATGACCTCCATGCGTGCCGGACAATGGCCCACGCCCGCCGTTGGGGGGCCTGGAACGGACCTCCACCGGTCTCCCGGGGGTGGTGCTGAGCGAGCGGCTGAGGTGGGAGAGCAACGCCAAAGCGGTGGTAGGGTTTTAATTTGTGCGTGGATGGAAAGGAAGTGGTGACTGAACGGCACATTTACGACGGAGGCGTAACGGCAGAAGTATTGTGTTCTTTGCAATAGGAGCTTTGCTCAAACGCTGTGCCGCTAAGCTGGTATGTGGTGGTGCTTCCTCGTTTTCATTAGGATTCATGTCAGAGCCAAGTGGAAATGCCGCACGGAAATATTTTGGTAGCGATTGTTTTGGCTGCCAATAGCAAATGGAAGCCAAAAAGAAAATGCATGTGAGTTACGAGAAAATTATGCGACTATCCCCGTATGCAACCTTGTGAGAAATATGATGTCAGTCGCTTGTTGCCCCGCACTGGACGCTAGGCGAGGGCATATACAGCACATCGTGAGATTTAGCAGGTCGCGCTCCCCCCCCCCAAAGCCCCGAAATACACGTGTGAATATTGGCCGCAGCTGACGGCCGCGTTTACTTCGAAAGCACGTTGAAGAACACAAGGAAGCACAAGGACGAACACACAACAACTGTTTAATGAAGCTGTGATTAAGGCACGAGCAGTTATTTGTACAGTACCGTACAGTTATTCACATTGCTGTCACTTGGCACTCTTGGTTTTGGAACTTCGGCCTTAATTTCCGTAGTTGTCTAGCAGTGGCCCGATGCGAGCAGTCTTCGGGTAAATGCATTATCTGCGACAAACCATATGATGGAGGTTTGTCGGCTTTGGCACGCAGCGCTATTTGCGAATAGCTTTTGCTGGGCTACCCCAATTGCCAGATGTGTTCACCACCATGTCGTTGTAGCTACGCGTTAACATTATTTCCGATTTTCGACCGCTGAGAAATTGGTTATGAGAGTGGCCAACCTAAAACTTTCAGTCGGGAAGTCGATGGTTTTGTTATGAGGCACGGTTTGGGAACTGCGATCAAAGTTCACATAGCATGCGAATAAATCTGATGGATGTTGGATACGATGAACCCGCCTCTACACCTGTGCAGTCGTGGCCCAGCCGTTCCCTGCCCAGGCGGCGCGGAGTTGTATTGGAGAGCGGTTATGAGTCGGACAGCGCTGGGATCGCTTGATGATTGTAGACGGCACATTCGTGTATACCGTGCAGTTAGTTTCACGTGCTCACATGCTCGGGTCGCGCGGATGTGACACCAGCCACTGAACACCCTCGAAAAC